CCGAATTGTACACTGAATGTGGCTGACACGAATTCAAATTCGGTTCTATTTGGTCGATTTACAAATTCAAACCATTGAAAATGCATGAGAAACCAGTAAACGAAATCGAGATGAGATTTTTTCGACTGCTGCGATTGCTGCTCTTCCATTCTACTTCGGTTACTTTCATCCGATGAACTCAACGAAATCAATCGCATCAAACGGATGTGGCCGCAACGGATCATATGCAAATTACGTAAGAATTTAGACTCTATTGTGCAAACGACAAGATAATTTATGCTCAAAGACAAATTTAGGCAATCAATTCAATTCAGTTCAATTCATTTTTAGTAACATTTGGTCAGCATTTTTATTTCTCTCTCTCTCTCTCTCTCTCTTCTTTCATTCATTGAAGATTCCAAACGAGAAAAAAAATCGATTTTTCCCCTTTGCATAGAGTAAAGCCAATCATATAGGTGAATTGTATGCATCTCGATCGGCACCCAAATTCATCTGCATATTTTATTATCAAATTCAAAAACTCAAACGAAAAAATGCACCAACACTCAACGCTATAAAAAGAAAAATATTGGTGCCAATTTAAAAGGGAAAACAAAGAATTTTTAGCCATCGATAAAATTGGGCTTTGTATGCAAACGCTTTATATAATAACATATCATTCGCCACATGGACTACATGCTGTCAAAATATACTTGCATTTTCAATATAGGTTTTGGTTCATCCGAATGGAAATATTTTACATTTGAAACAGCATCGCAATTCATAAATAGGCTTAAATTGAGGGGAAAAAAATCAAAATGATTTGCAGTGGCTACGTGTTTATGGTCAGAAAAAACCGAAATCATTTTCGGTTGCATGCTGCATTTTCAATGAAATTCACTCAGTTATGATGTTTTGTGATATCAGATGTGAGTTACGTAAATATGTCTAGCGGAACAAACGATATAGCACAATTCGGCTTGAATCAAATTCGCAGTTCATCATTCTAAATTGTCCTTCTGTCCAATGCATGCTGCGCAACGCGTTTAACCCGTTTTTTAACTGTAAGCTGTCAGTGCACGTGGGCAAGCATTGTGAAGTTCCAAATGCAAATCATTTTAAGTTCATTGCAATTAAATCGTATCGTGTAACGTGTTTGAGTTCAGTCACATTATTATTGCGAGACAAAAATCGCTTCGAATTCCATTTACCCAGTTCTACAACTGGAACTTTTTAATTTCTGGAAAGCGCAAGCACGTGTTTGCGAGCATTTCGCTTAAAATGTATTCCATTCACCACCATGTGCTTGTTAATACCCGGCAATAACAACCGTATGTTTGTCATGCATTTATTGGTTTTTATCATCATCATCTTTTTGTCGTTCCAAATGATAGCACCGAAATATGCTTGCAGAATTGATTCTGAACTGCTGTTATTTAAATATTTATGGGAATTGGTCTAGACAATTCGATTAGAAGACATTGAGCGAAGTAGGAGAAAAAGCGTGGAAGGAATTAGAAAGCGACTTTTCCTCACACAAAATGAATTTCATCTCGCGTGTGTGCAAAGTAATCTGCAGACAATGCGATTGTGGCGAAAAACCGTCGTGTGTGTGTGTGTGCCTCTAAAAAGATTTTCACCGTCGTCTTTTCTAAAAATCGAACGAGCGACAAAATCAAGCAAAATGCCTACATTCGGGCGTTTTGCGGCAAACTCACAGCATATCCAACAGCAGACGAAATATATTGGCTGCTTTGTAAACCATAAGGAGATAATAATTGTGAATGGCAATTCGCAGACGCTGGATGGTTCTATAACTGGTTTGCGGTATTACTGTCAAAGTGTTGTAACAGTGATATGATCGGCACATGAGCACCATCTCTACTGATTGCCATTATTGTCATGTAAATGAATAGAATGTCTACTTCTTCTTCTTCTTCTTTTTCTCAACATCAATTGCATACAACTTATGGTAACTCTCTGTAATCATTAGAGGTGGCGCTACTTATGCGCATCAATTGACTTTTGCATTGGCTCTTATGTACTGTGCGTGCCTTTTGATTACTGTGAACCAATCAATTTCCAGATTTTACAAGTGAGCTACCGAGTATGAGGCACGAGTTTGAATGCAATTATCATAAATATAGAGCAGTGAATTGATGATATTCCCATCTGAACTTCATATGTGCAGAGTGTGTTATAGCTTTTAGAGAATGATTACAATTTATTTATGCACATAGTTGATATGTGCGCACGCTGTGCGCGTCTTGTCTCCAGGTTACGTTCAGGTGTACTTCATCACATTGATTTTGAATTGCGCATTCGAATTGGCCGAAATGCTGCGCAAATCAATGGAATCAATACCGGAAAGGTTTCGCGTTTTTTTATCGCTTTTCTTTGTCGCTTCTAATCGATTCCATTTTCATGAGGCACGAGGTGCTAGTTTCATCATAAGTGTGCCGTTTTAATTCGTGTGTGAGTCATTTGAAATGAATATGTGATGATGAGGACTTTTTATGTGATTCCGAATTGCAAATTACGAATGCCGGAATGAATGAATGTCAATTCACCACCGCCACCACCCGAGAGAGAGAGAGTGTGTGTGTGTGTGTGTGTGTGTGTGTGTGTGTGTGTGAAATCGATGCTATTTTTTCAGTTCGACCTTCAGCCCATTCAAGAATATGGCATGCAAACCGTCCCACTGAACTTGAAACGCGAGTAAGTTTTTGCATTTTTCCTTCTTCTTCTTGGTGCGCCATTGCGAAAGGGCCAATTTTGAATTTGCATAGTTTTATTGCCCTTGAATTTAATATGATATCGAAGCGGCATAATTAATTCAAATTCATTTCAATTAAAAATTCATTCGCATCTTCTTCTCTTTTTTTTTCATACTCATATCCTTCCTTCCGAATATGAGGAGACCGTGTATGGAAATGTGGCCCAAGCGCTTCTTACCTGTCCTTTAGGAACAGCTTCATTTTGAATACATCTACATTACATCAAGTCTTCGTTTTACCGGCATCGATTTTGTCGTTATCATCAATGTTCCAAAGCAGGCTTCTGAACAAACAACCATTGCCATTGTACGGTGTGCTTATTCAGACTGGTTTAACTACTTTCTCAACGAAAATCCTTTTTTTACCCAAAGGATTTACAATGTCTTTCTTCTCATTTTCACAGAGATAATTAGATGCAATTTCGGTATGAATGTTAAGGACAAAGGATAAGATTACATTGCAATCAATGACGAAAAGATGTTTTTCCAGTTGACCAAATCCCCCTTTTGTCACTCAATTTTTTTTTTGCAAATGCATAACGTGATACTCAAGCGAGTGAATAATTGTTGTGTTCTTGAAAAGAGAAAAAATACGTTAGAAGAACTGAAAAAGCAGTTAACAGAATTGAAAAAAGAGGAAAAAGTTAAGAAAAAAGAGTTTTAAACACGATGAAAGACGACAATCTGAAAGAATGACGAAAGACAATCAATGAAATTACAAGGCAGTTATCGAGTGAAACTGTAGAATCGTTAGGAAAGTGTTTCAAATATCCAATTGTGACTAAAGTGCTTTATGGGAGAAAACAACACACTTTTTCTTTCATTTTTTTCTATTCAAAACAAATGTTTGGTCAAAGAAAAACTGATCGTTGGTAGAAAGACTAGATTTAAATGCATATTCAACAGTTGCATTTCCAATATGCCGCAGTATCGCAATCTGTTCACCCTTAACGATTTGAATGAAAAAGGAAATTTGCGATACAAACGTTATAAATCTTTTCCCTCTCTTTCTCTTGGGATTGAAAAAGACACCAATAATTAAGCGACGCTTACGAGTTCCGAAAAAAATAACGGTAATTTTTGAAAATCTGTATAACGAATTGTGGAAAAGGGACGCGGATAGCTGTGTTTTTTTTTTCATTGTTCGAAGACCCCTTTTTAAAAGCCATCTACAAAAGCGAAAATCTAGTTACCTCGGAGCTATTGAAAATCGGACAGATTGAATATCGAATTTCTGGTTGCATGTGTGACAATAATGAGTACAGAGATTGCGTGTGATTGAAAGAGACCGAGGTAGAGAGAGAAAGAGAGAGTGTGATGTACTGAAGGTAAAGAGAGGTAGACATAAAGGGACAGAGAATGATAGAGAGGGATATCGATAAAAAGAATAAAGAAAGAGAAAGAGCACTCTATAGCTCGAATGTGGCTGGGTGATTATGAAAGCGCATAATTGTAACGGCATAAATGGTGTGCATTGAATATTGTTTGGTGCGTCCTAGGAAAAAGCGCGTAGTACAATTCCCTCGAATAATCGTGTGTAAGAGAGAGACCGAGAGTCGAGGCGACAATAAAAACAAAAAACCAAATCACTCATTTCAACTATGATGTGTAACACACACATTGTATGACAATGAACAAACATACAGCTGTTCACATACACAGCGCCGAAATACGATGAATCGAGTGTAACGGTGCAACGGTATAGCGAGCTCAATATCGAAATACTCGATCAATGTTACAATTTTATTATTTATTTGGACAGAGACGGAAACATGATGTCTCTTGAAACTGCAAACTCATCGTGTTTCAACGACGTTTCGCGTCGAAGACGAATACGAAATAGAAATGGAAGAAAGACGAAGAGAAATGGAAGAAGGAGAAGAAAGAGAAGAAAGATAAATGAGCTCGAAATGAAAACATATTGCACACCTATTTGACCGGCGCGCGACCCAACCAAAACTGTAACACATGGTCATTCAAGAGGCGCACAAATACAAATGAAACAATGAGCCTAATCGAAATCGGTTAAGTCTGTTGGCTTGCAACCGGCAAACCATTTGAATTGATGATCATCATCACCATCGTGTTGTTTGGTATGGTCTATGCCTGCATAGGATCATAGGTATAACATGCGAATACAGGCATAAGCAACAGCCGTCAAACACAAACACGCTCACACACGCACACACTCACTCACTTACACACACACGGCTTATTGCATCGTACATTATGCTTTACCGTATTCGTTCTGTTTGCAGCATTCAAAACAAACGCATTGTGTCGTTTTTAGTCGGGCAATAACACGCGACCAGCTCAGACGTACGGAGTATATCGTGTTTTTTCTTCAATAGCACCAAAAAATGCTTCGCTCTTATCGCTCGAGTAACTAATCGACGACGACGACGACGACAGTGACGACTATGAAATCATCTTCATTTTTTTTAAAAACTGAAATAGATTCAAAGTGAGCTAATTATTTCGAAACTGTGTGAAATATTTTTCAAGCTCTTTTGTGAGCAAATTTGTGTGTATAATTTAAAAAAAATAATTTGCTCAAATTGATGTTGTGTTTCGAGCGGAAAATTTATTATTTCAATTTTGGTGTTAATAAAATTATGGGATAGCGTGTTAGCAAACCACAAGTGACCTTTTCAAAGAGTTTTCTTACGAAATATAACGCCGAGATTTAAGAAGCATACGGGAATAGAACTAGTTTTATTCGCCAGACCAGACTAACGATCTTGATCGTAAAATAGACGAGAAGCGAGGAAGCAAGCCGTCGAAACACGGGGGCATAGACATCATAATCCAAGACTTAATTTGAACAGAACAAGGTAAATAAATAATTATCTTAATGAAAATGTCGCAAATCAAATATTCTGTTAATTCGTGATTTATGGCAGTAGTCACACTGTTAATGGGCTGAAAGAACTGCGAATCGTAATGCGTGAATCCATAATTTCTGATCGCTCTACTGGTTTTCAATGGCTAAAAATAGCACTGACTTTCTGGAATGATTGTGTTTTAGTTTTCAAAACGATTGCGTTTCAATTTTTCGTTCCCACAAGAATATTCCATTGCATAATGACGCATTTCCTGGTAGAAAAATCACCGGTTCGTCCCCAAAATGTAACAAACAATTTTCCCTCCGTTTAAATCCAATGATAACCATGAACTACAATTCACAGAATATCTCACACTTAACATGCACTCAAAACTAACGTAGAAAACACGAAAAGAGATTCCGAAAAAAGAGTAAAAAAAAGCCATTAAAAATGAGTAAAGTTTATCTCGTGGCAACGCTATCAAAACAAATGAAAACAAAAGCAAATCGAATCACTGAGAAAATCGTCTATTGCCATAGAGAGAGTCCACGTTCAGACCCATACCGGATACGGCGGGAATGCATTGAACACGGCACGCGCAGCTCATACAACTGTTAAATTAGAAATAATGCATATCCGGAATTGACGCATAAAACTCGATGAAAAAAAACATGTTCCGCATGTGATCGGGATATGTGATGTATGTCGTCTGAATCCCGAGCATATTTGCAAGTTGATTCACATTTACGTTTGTAGTTCGTCGTTTGCACCAAAATGAGTTTCGTTCTGAGTGAATGCGTGTCTATCGCATGAGTTGCGATCATAGAGCACGGCGCTCTGAAAATGCCATGCATACACACATGGAAAAAAAGTAAACAAAAAAAGCAACGATTCATTGCCCTCGTTTGAGGTAACGATTACACAAAAACGAACATATGCGGATAGAAAAAATATACAAATTTTTATAATTGAGTAGATTGCATATGCATAAACGAGGTGGCTTGCATTGAACATGGATAAAGAAGAGGAGGAATGAACGGAAAAAAATGGAATGTAGAGCATAAGAAAAGAGCGATAGAAAAAAAATTATGAGGGTAACGCGGTAAATGCAAATGTGTCGATGATGTTGAAAAAACCAGCAATTTTTGTGCGTGTATAAACTGTCAGATCGAGGACAAAGGAATCAATTACGTGGCGAACGAACGATCGATGCGCAGTTCTATGCGCTTAGAATATGATATCATTTCGTTTCTCTTTATTTATGTGATTCATAGTCGGTTATTATTGCAGCCGTTCGCCCGGCGAAAGATGTTATTTTAAACTGTTGCTTATTCCGTTCTTTTCATACAAAAAATGTCGACGACGAAGACAGAAAATGCCATTACCAAAAGATGTGTCCTTTGCTTGAGCAATAAATAAACGCACACGTTACACGTCGTCTAATGCAAATGCATTTCACACTCACGAAACGGAATGTGAAGCGTGATCAAATGAGGGTGAAATGTGTTGAAGTCACAGTCTTCTCTGTTTGAAATTATAATGCATTCAAAACGATCATATTTCTCTTTTTGAATTCAACAAATGTGTCGTCTTTTGAATTTACCAAGAAGTTGACGAAAAAAAGAGAGTTTTTTCAGAGATTTTTTTTTCGTTTCGTCAAAGAATTGTTTTTTTTTCTTTCATTCATTCATCACTAAAAGTCGCCTTGAATCAAAGTCAATTGAATGTGATTGACAAGAATCACTTCAAAGCTAAGTATAATTTCCTGTCGTAAAGTTTTAAACAACGACTCATATCGGAAATTAATCATTCGACCGACCGATTACGATTTATTACAATAACAAATGCTGAAACCACTGTCATGAGCTATTTTTTTTCGAGATGGAGATTCCAAGTCAGTACAGCTTAATATGACTAATTGCAAAGATCATTTCCACGAAGAAAAAAACATACATCGACGACGACGTCGTCCAAATCGCTTAGTAATGATTTCATTTCTCATTCACTCCTCGGTTCAGGTGTATTTTGTTATACACTCGCTCTTCTCATTCACACATATTTTCGGTATTTGTAAACTTGTTTTATTTGCACGGCATGGCTATTGGTTGAATCATCACCATCGGCAGCACATTCAACAACAAATTAGTGTATACACACACATCATATACGGTGAGACGTGTAACAATATCACACGGTCGACCAGACCCTGAATACATGATATTCCTATCAATATATATGCTAACAAAACACACAATGCTATCTATTTTTAATGAATTAATGAGTTTCTGAATGTGTGTTTTTTGTCTGACGTAAACCAATAACATATTTTCACTGACACCGCATTTTGAATATATCGAAGAAAAAAAATTGCCAATTCAGATTCAATTTACCCATAACTGTTAATTTCTTTATTTCGTCGACTCGTTTTTGTCAATTTAATCCCATCGTTTTTACCTGATTGTCGATTTTATATTATTTTATCGTCGATTTATGATTCGTTCGAACCAATGTAAATATGTGAACGACTTGAAAATGCCATTTTTACAGCAAGCTGACTCAAATCGAGTCACTCGATAGTGCAAACAAAGGCTATTTTTATATTTTATATATATTTGGTTGGAATCGATTTTTATTGAATCGAACTGATAAGCGAATTTATTGCGTCCACATCTATGTGTAAACAATGGCCTATGTTTTTTTCTCTTTCCTCTACGATTTCATCGCCAATCGGGTTTTATGAGAGTGGAAATGGCAAAAAGCAGGTCAACCAACGATTCGCAATGACAAAACACCAATCGATTGTTCTATTTACTTGAAAACTTGATAAGCATCCAACAGTTGGATTCCAACACACTACTGTTTTTTTTGTGCCACTATTCTGCGTCAAACATTTCACAATTTCCATTGGTTCAACTAGTTCATTTTGCTAGGGATTTTTGTGCCCGTTTCGACTTCATTTTTCGAATATTTTCCCATTTCTAGCTACTTAACTGCATAAAGCAAATGATTTAGCAGAAACAGTAGTAATATAATACACATAATTAAAAACACACACACTCTTATTTCAACAAAACGATCGGATTTCAGCTAGAATCGGCCGTGCCGCACAACAACAATGAGATTATTTTGGTTCACTGTCCATTCTACAGGAATTCTATGAAACAAACCATACACCATTAGGATTAAAAGTAAAAGTACGAGTTATGTTTGTTGCGTGAACTATAAACGAAATTCTTACACAGTGTGTGCAACGAGAAGAATTTATGCTCTTTTTGTTTTCGTTTCCATTTGTTTTGTTTGCATATGTTTTCCATAAAAAGAAATTAAACCGAAACCGTAAAAGGTTTAAACGAACTAGCCAACTAATTTTGTATTATTTGAAGTGCACGTGTGCACAATGAGATTTGTGTGAAACAAAAGAGAGCAAGAGACATATTTTAGTTACGGAATTGTCGCAGTCATCTACGCATTGCCCAATGTACAATGACTAATATTTATATCACTTGAGGTGTGTCGTTAATAAAACGCTATTTGTTTTTCCTTTGTATTTTTTTTTATCAGATAAAAAAAACAACAACACAATGACGAATTTCCAGAGATCGTACAGCCGTGTTTGGTGGGCAAATGACAACAACAACGACGACGGTGGCGGCGGTAGTCAAGTATCTGAGTCACCGTTGCCCCATGAAATTTACTATTACGGGCCACAATCATTGGGCAAATTGGGTAATATAGCCGAAGAGGCATCGTATCGAGTATCGCAAATACGACGAAGTGTCAGAAGCCATGACTCCGGATTCAATGATAGCGATCATTCACCGAATTCAACGAGTAGCTCTAGTCAAATATCGGCACACAATCACGATTTGGATAATAATGATGAGAACCAAAATTATTTATCGCCAAAGCCACATAATGTTAGTGGGTCATTGGATCGATCACCATCAATAGCTAATGAAACGGTAAAAACACCGCCAACCGTGATCCGAAGAAAGATTAGTTCGATGTTCACGCCCACAGCTCGTCGGATTTCATTCAGTGCACCAAGTACACCGGATGCTATTGAACCACCTAGATTGAACAGTTCATTTCGTTCACTTGATTCGTTTTCGACGAAGAAAAGCAAAGAACGAAATGGTAAAAATGAGCAATTAAACAGCAGTTTAACTACGAGTTTGAATGATAGCCGAGCTAAAAACTGCAGTCTACGACGGGGTAAAACTATTTCACCGAGCAACAATTCAAGCTACAGACGCCGTGCCAATCGTCGTCGTCTGTTGGACTGTGTTTCACAAGTGTCTGGTTCGACCAGCGATGTATATACGCTCGCTTCAGACTCATTGAACGAAAAGGAAATCAAAGAACAACCGGAAGAATATCATCATTATGAAACAGTGAGCGAAGTAAAGAACACATCACGTGCCAATATCGAAACAGAAATAGAAAGTACAGAACGAACAGAAAATACGACAGCCGAGTATAATAACGAAACGGTGACATTTGGAAGTGGCGATGAAACTGTAACACCGAAAAAAGACAACGATGAAATGGTTCAAGTTCAACGGGAGAAACTTCCGTTGCCAACCTATGATGAGCTTTATCCGCCAAATGGATGCTCGACACCCATGTTGAAACCGAAGATAAAAAATGTATCACATGTTGCCGATCACACACAATCGTCCATCATTGCCATAAATGGAGCTAGTCAATACGAGCAACGGGAACAAGTGCAACACAATGATCGCCGTGATTTTTACAACGACGATTCGGATTTCAATTTATCACTAGCGCCTAACATGAATTGGGAAAGTTGTACGTACATTGAATACACAAATCCAGCGCTGAACGGGCACGCGTGTTCCGTACAATTTTGGCTTGATGAAACACGTACGATGTACTATCATGAAATCATGTCAACATTGCAAACAAAATCCATTTTATATGAAGCTGCACGATCATTAAAGTTAAATCCACCGATTGCTGCCAAGTTGATTCATCAAATCCAGCTGAAAGGCATTGCCATTGAAACGAAATTCGATGAAATCGACCGAATATTCGAATCGCATGCAAAATTGGTGAAACGCTTACAGCGACATTCGTTGATTTCCTCAAATGGTATCGATGAAAGCATTGAAATTGCCGATAATGAATTCAAGGAGAAAATTTCCGTGATGATGAAATCGTTGACGGAAAATGTTTGCCATTTTATGTCGCGTTTGAATTCGAAAATTATTTTCCAAAATGTCGATTGGTGCACGAATGGTGAGAATGGCAAAGACCTAAGACATTTCGAACGAAATGTGAAGACAGTCATTGATTTGTGTCAAGATTTGCGTGTGGCGTGCGAAACAAAAATCGATGATATTGAAACAAATGTTCTACTTAAGGACTTTTATACGCTGAAACAAAGCGTTTTGAAAGCGATTCGCAAGGTATTCCGCCGTTTGATGAATATAATTGTGTGTCGTGTGGAAGAGAATCCGAATGAAATGCTGTTACGGGCAAATATCAATGTGATTGCAACATTGCCAACGGAGAGTGTTTACAATTCAAGCGAACGCTTTTCATCACTCAACGATGCATTCATTACGAGTGGCGTGCTGCGAGTGTTGCTTATGATTTGCTTGGATGCTGACAAAATATCGATACGAGCGATGGCACTGCGTGCACTCACCACAATTTGTTCATCGGCCGAAATGATACGCCAGTTTATCGAAATTGGTGGTCTTGATGTCGTCACCGACATTCTTACCGATTACAAGCGAAACGATGCAAAATATGAGCCCGAATTACGTGAAGCTGTTTCTGTACTCACCCAAGTTACCGCACCATGGATTCAGGGTGACAGTGGCAATATTGACGATCTGCTCAAATTATCTATTGATAATTTAGTGACACGATTGACTCAAATTATCGAATCCACTGATTGCCTGCAAACGCTCATGCTTGCCGCCGCCTGTCTTAACAATCTGTCACGTAAATCTTCGCTCGCATTTTATTCACTCATGGATAATCGAAGCGTTCATCAATTGATTCATGCGTGTGATGGATACCAGCAACGTATCGACTTTGGCAGCTCAGCTATTTTCCTCTATGTAAGTATTTGTCGCTTCGAATTCTTCACATTCCAATTTTTTTTTCGTTGCTACTGTTATGTCGCACACGTCAATTTGTTCACTTTCATTCCTTTCTTTTCCATTTTTCTTCTCTCGAATACTTGTTTTTTTTCACAGTACTTTTTTTCCGAAACAATTTCTTACTTTTTTCGAAGTAATCTCTCGCCTTTACACAATTTCCAACAATGTCATAGTTTTCAATTCCTCATATTTTTCCTCTTTTTTCTTATTTTTTTCCATCTCATAGGAGCAAATCACTAGCATGTTGTTCAACATGGCGGGAAATAAAAAATGCCATCAACATCTTGCGCACAAGGAAATCATTTACTTTGTATCGTTTGTATTCCAAACGCAATTTCACATGAAATATGTGAGCGCTGCGGAAAAGACGGCGCTTCGGAAAACGATTAAAAATATCTTGCATATTTTTGCTCGTCTCATACACCACTCGGCTGTTGGCCAGGAGATACTCGAACAAAATGCCATACCAATCTTTTCGCGCGTTGAACAACACATTCGAATCGATGATGTATATGCCAAAGACTTGCAGTACATCAATAAGAAGCTAAACAAATCGCTCGATACATCGGATCCACAAATTTCAAGCAAGACACAACATCGGCTCAGCGTATGCAATATGACTGGCTCATCATTGCTGGAAAGTTATGTTTGAGCAATGAAAGGAACATAGGGAAAAATGTTATTAAATTGAAATGATAGAGAAACGTGCACGCAATGGAGACGACAAGACGAGAAAAGCCGAAGGAAATCGTTTATTATCATTAATTTTGCCGTTGAAAAATGCCCGTATATTTAAAACGAAAAACGAATATTAGTTAAGAAACAACAAATATGCCACACTATCTAAACTACTTACGACAATACAGTTACTGTATGCGATCGATTTTTATTGATAGAAGAATATCATTTGAACAATGAAAAGAGAAATCATTCGTTGTGTGTTGAAATACAAATTGAAACTGTGCCATTAAAAAACGAACACATACACTTAAATGTTATTCTTTTGTTCCATTTGATATCGTATATATATATATTTTAATCAGGAAATGCCGTCATTTAATTAGCTTCTACTGGTTCTTTCAGTTTGGATGAATATAAGTTTTGTAAATAGATGCGAGAAGTATATTTAAAGATACAAAGAAATATAGAATTAAAAAAAAATTGCCTAAAGAAAACTTGATGTGTGTTTTCATTCCATTCTTCAAGGTCTTTTTTGTTATTCGGTGTGATATACTCGGTTTGGCCTGTTTTTTTTTCACTCAATTTTATCTTGATGGGAAAAACATATTCAATGTCGTCTGTTAAATTGCAACGAAAAGGAGAAAAAATAACTAAACCTGAAAGAGCAACGACATTCCCGTAGTCACATTTGAGAAAAGCGAGCGTGTATCTGCATCAGCATCTAACATGGTAAGTGCGTTAAAAGGATTTTTATAGGATCCTTTCGTAATTTACTTCAGACAATATGATTTATATCCATGTGACATGGACTACTTCGTTTGGTACCTACGTTCAAAATCTCGACAAAAACACACGCACACACATCAAAGTTATCGTTACAATCCGCAACAAAATTTCCGACAAATAGCAACGGCTGTATTTGAATCAAAAGCACCACACAGCAGTCGCGACGAATCTTAACTACCCTTCTTGAAATGTGTGTATGTGAGCATATGTTATATGCATTGGTGCGAAGGTCTAGGCCTTGTGTACGCATCACTCTATCGCTGTGCTGTGTTGTGAACGTTACACAGAGGGTTCGAAGCCGAATGCGAAGAGCAATGTGTAGCAAACACACATATACACCAAATTAATATGGTTTTTTCCCGATGATTCGCCGTGTTATTTCTTCTTCTTTTGGCGTCATCGTCGTTTCTAGTGTACATCTGCCGTGTACGTTACGATGCTTCTGTGTGTAACTGCATGTGATATACGAGCAAATATGCGCTTATGGTAATTCAATTCATTCCCTTGCTATGTATTCCATGTGTGTGTGCCATCTTGTCTACGACAAATGAAAGACGTTAACATTCTTTTTCTTTCGCCGTCTCTTGTTTTCTCAGTGAAACTAGTAATTTTTGAATAACGTACAGGCCCTTTAAATTAACAGAATATTTTTTTCTTTTCTTTTCATCTTTCAATAGAGAAGAATGACATTTATTGTGTTTGGTATTTCGAGTCAATTTCGAGCGGCGAAGACAATATGAGAAATATATAATAAGGAGCATTTTGAATTAAATTGCATCGCATGTTTTGTTTTTGTTTAAAGAGCAGTCAAAAACTTGAACTCACTTAACAACGATGCGCTCGCAGAAGAAACTTTCTCAAGAAATGAAATATTGAATGAGAATAAATTAAACTGGCTTCTTAAATAACTTACACTCTTTTTGCCTTATTTCAATATTCTTTCTGTTTTTTTTTTTGTTTTGTATCAAAAACTTTCAACTTATAGAATAATCAATTTGTTTCACAAAAACTTTCTTCGCTCAATTCCTCCAAATGAAAAAATCCCATTTTCTTTGAATGGAAAAAGAAAACATAGCGAACCAAACAAGAATAAATCAAAACAAACATCCAATGAGCTTAATTCATTGAGGAAAAGCAGGCGACGAGGGAATGTGAAATATTCAAGCAATTAAAAATGCATCTTTCGACTAATTTTAGATCAAAATGATGCACATTCCATTGTCGTCATTTAGTCGACGCCGTTCACGTCTCATAATAAGATGTTTATGTATCGCGAGCATTGCATTAAAAACTTCTGAAACACGAAGTTCATTGGCATTCTAATTGACCATACAGCCAGTTTCACACATTTATTTGAATTTTCACAACGACCGTCTGTTTTTCTATACACCGAATTGAGCGAGCAAGAGAAGAGGACAGCGACAGAGAGAGAGAGAGAGAGAGAGAGAGAGAGAGAGAGAGAGAGAGCTCTCCTTTGGCCTTACTGGTTACTTTACTTACTGGTAATAATTTAATACTCCCCAGAGAGCGAAATTTCTGTTTTGTCCAATCGGAGCTAGTAAGAACAAGATTGAGTAAAAATCCATTCACGACTCACCGAAAACGTTTGATCAGAATTCGAGACTCAATGAATTATTTGTTGTGTGTCGGGTGTTGGTTGTGTGTAAACAAACCCACACGTGTCAAACATGATATTTTTAGCATGTGTGTTTCCATTCATTAGTGGCAGTCGGTTTGCAGCAGATGTGCTTGGCTATTATTCGAAAAAAAAATTCAAATCGATTCAGTAATTTTATTAGTATTTTATTTCAGTGGAAAAAAGAGATTTTTATAACCAAAATATTTAATGGCATACTAAAAGTAACATATGAATTTTTGTAGAAAATGTGTGTTTTTGTGTGTAGTTTATTAGTTTTCGTAGCACCAGTTAAAAGCGTTGTCAAACATAATTTGCCATGGCGATCGTTTTGCTTCGTTGCATTCAAATGTTGGCGAAACATATGGCCATTGCCACATTTGTGTACAACGCTCTGGATGCGGCATCATCGCCAAATGTCTTCCATCTAATGAACAGAGTGCAGCAATACCCTGTGCACTACCGTTTGGATTCATCGGATATGTTTCGGTTGCTTGTCCCTTATCGTCAACATAACGAATCGGTGCACAGTTCTTGTTAAGCAATTCGTTGAGAATTTCATTTGATTTGAATGCAAATCGTCCCTCGTGATGGGCAATCCAGCAACCAAGCACGGCTCCCTGCATGTTGTTCAACATGATTGCGTGGCTTGATTCAATTTTCAGTGTAGACCAACGGCATTCAAAGCGCTCCGACTTATTTTCGAGCAATGCAACGTCTGGTACGGCAATAACACCTTTGTTGGCATCATCGATTTTCGGTTGTGCAACTCCAACCCATCCCAACAGGCTCATCAATTGACAACCGTTGCACACACCTAATGAGAATGTGTCTTTACGGTTCTTGAAATGCAAGAATTGACGACGAAGTGATTCGTTGTAAATTATGCTTGCAGACCATCCTTTAGCCGAACCCAATGTGTCGGCGTAGCTGAAACCACCTGGGAACACAACGCCACGGTAACGATCCAATGTCACTTTTCCCTGCAACAAATCATTCATTACGACATCGTGAACGGTGAAGTTTGAGTCCAATAATGAGGCAATCATTTCACGATCTCCATTTGTACCTTCTTCACGAATGACAGCCACAACAATATTCTTATTGGTTGGACTCTTCAACAGCTTGGCATATTCGTCTGGATCGACGATGCATTTATATTGGGGTCCAGTGCGGAAATCGTATGTGCCGTATTCTTCGATGGCACAGTCAGCATTTGTTTGCAATTTCTCCAATTCGAAACTTGTTCGTTCCCATTGCTTGAAGTAGGTGAGAGCTTGTCCTTCGAGCAATAAACTCTTTTCGTATGTGATGTGTACTTCGGAATGAATGCCATTTCCAGTCGATTGACCGATGTGATAGACTGGAACTCCCGCCTTTTGGAATGATTGCAACACAGCGCTGAGATTTTCCGATGCAACTTCAAGCAACCAACCGGTTTCTTCGGCAAACAAAGCGACTACTGCTGCATTTGCCTCAGTTACATTGTTTGTGACAAAGTTTTTGAGGCCAATTTTACGAATGGCTTCCGTTAAATTAACATTGAAACCACACAATCCACCGAATGCCATTTCGAGCAATGAAACAACCAAACCACCATCACTGATGTCATGACCGGCAAGCAGTTTCTTTTCGGCCAACAGTGATTGAGTAACATTAAAAGCCTTTTTGAGTATTTCGGGCTTCGAGATGTCTGGTGTGTCGTTACCTTCTTGACCATATGCTTGACCCAGTGCTGAACCACCCAAACGGAAACGATTTTCAATGTTCACCCAAACGATTTCACCGTTCTTGAGCAAAGCTGGAGATTTGAAGTCCGGTGTCACTTTAACACGTACATCAGGGCACGGAGCATATGTTGAAATGACCAATGTTCCCGGTGATTTGATGGTGTCGCCTGAAAATAGTAAAGTTTTAATTGAAAATCTATTTTGAAGAGGGTTGATGCTTCTATTGTTCCAATTTTGATCATTCAATTTGATTTCTTTTGAAGTATTTCCAAGTTTTTTTACCCCAAAATTCTAATTTTATATTATTTTTTTAATGGAAAAAGGATTAACTTCGAAAACGATTTGGCTCACCTTTAACTCTAGCGGCCATCGAAAGTGAATCTTTGCCACCGTCAACGGCAATATTCAAATCCGACATAATGCTGCACATGGCTTGACAAGCTTCGTACATTTTAGCTCCTTCTCCAGGCAGTTTAGCTGCCCACATCCAATTACCCGAGCATTTAACATCGGCCAATTCGCTGACTTTAACGAAGGCCAAATTCGAAATAGCCTCTGCAACTGACATACGAGCATTGGCTGCAGCTGAAATGACTCCTTTTGTTGGTTGCATACCGATCGAAGTGGCAATTCCCTGGTGTGTAACGTGTGAAACGGTTGTGCATGCAAAATCGGCGAGTGGTGTATGCAATGGTCCGACACATTGTTGTTGAGCAATTAAACCAGTAACACATCGATCGACTTTGTTGGTTAAAAATCGTTTGCTACCAACGCCAACCAAGCTCAAAACGCGTTTCAACGGTTCGCTCAAATCGGATTTGCCCAAGAAGTCCAGCTCAAGTGGTAGCAAATTCTTTTTATCAGTTTTGAAGTGATATTCCTTGCGTGGCATTTCACCCAGAATATCCTTGAGGTGCATATCGAATGGAACCGTAGTTTTGGCGGTGCGTTGACGCTTTTGAGCCGTTTCATTCAAGTATTTTTCGAAATTAGCCTCTGATTCGATCAGTGTTACATAGCCATCGCCAGTGACAACACCGGCAAATGAAATTGGACATCGTTCACGTGCGCAAATTGCTTCAAGCAATGGTCTGTCCTCTGGTTTGCACAAAATTGCATCGTTTTCTTGGTATTCAGCGCCCCACAACTCGAGCACATTTATGGTTGGATCACCCAATTGGAATTCTTTGGTGAAAATTACAGCTCCGGCGTAGCCAGGCTCAACCAATTCTTTTAAAACATTGCCGTTGCCGCCAGCACCTTGATCGTGAATAGCCAAAATTGGATTGCGATCACCCAATTCGATACAAGCACGAACAACGCGGTTCAATTTGTTCTCCATTTCAGCATCACCACGCTGAACGGCGTTGAAGTCCAATTCGGCATTGTTGTCACCCTGTACTTCGACAGAACTAGCAGCTCCACCACCAACACCGATGCGATAAACAGGGCCACCGATTTTCGCCAATAAGTTTCCACGGGATGGATCGATTTTCTTGCGATGACATGCATCCATTGTGCCGAGACCACCGCTGAACATGATCGGTTTGACGTATTCTTCACGTTGATTCGTTGCTTTGCTTGTTACACCGTAGGTCATGGCAAAACCAGAGATAAGTGGTTCACCGAATTTGTTACCGTAGTCAGAGGCGCCATTTGATGCTTCGATAAGGATCTAAGGAAAGAAATTTCAATTCAATTTGAAAAAACATGAATAAATAGATTCATAAAAAATATCAATAATTTTTCACCTTCAACGGCGATGCAAATGATGGTGGGTACTCATCGGTTTTCGATTCATATGGCAAATCATAATTTGGAATGTTCAAGTTGCCAACGCAGTATCCAGCTGTGCCAGCAATGGTTAAACCGCCTCTGCCGACGCCTTGAACATCACGCAGACGACCGCCTGTTCCCGTTGTGGCTCCTGAAAATGGAGCAACAGCCGTTGGCATGTTGTGTGTCTCAGCTGTGAAAATCAAATCTGATTCGACGTCCACAATACTGATTTCATTGGCATCGTACGAATTGTTCGTGGTTTTAATCACCGGTCGCACGGCCTTGTGTTTGAATCCAATGATTGCACTGCTGTTATCGCTGAATTTAATGGTATTATTTTGGTTGGTATTCTTCTGCGTTTCGATGATTAGATGAATCAGAGATTTTTCATGTGTCACCCCATCGATAATCATCTTTCCTTTGAAGAACCAATGGCGTGAATGTTCGCTGTTACTCTGTGCCAAATCAAATAATTCCACACTGGTTGGATCACGACCCAACACATTTTTGAACAAGTGTAAATAATACTCCATATCCCATTTGTCGAAAGCCAAACCTAATTCGTCGTTGACCTTCTCCAATGCGGTGCGTCCTTCACACAAGACCGGTACCAAGTACCAGTTATCAGCCTTGGTTTTCTTCGGCAATTGCTCGTCGAAACTTTTGATTGGCAAGTTTTCGTCGGTGTACCGGCATTGAGTCATACGATCTCCCAAAATATCCACGATTTGATTCTGGAAAGTATGATTTTGTGAATTTATTAAGGAATAATTAGAAACTTATGATACGAAATTTGTTTCTTCTTCCTTTAATAAGAATGATTGCAACAATAACATAAAAGTTCAAACATTTTGATTATTTCGATGCTATTCGAATCAGTTAATAATTTTAATTGATCACAATTTTTTTCTGCTATTACACTTACAATTTCTACTTTGGTTGCCGCATTTTGCGCTGAGACGTAGTATCGAACCGACTTTTCTAAGCGTTTTACTTCATGCAATCCAGCATTTTGACAGATACTAACACTGTTTGTCGAATCAGCCGTTGAAAAGTTGAATCTGTGGGCAGCAGATATTTATTATGCTTTAGCGATAATGAGCTTATGTAATGGAATATTTTTCTACTTTGAATAAATTGGCTGATCATTTTTAGATTTTTTGTTTCCCTACTTCGGTGTTTATCAGTCTGGTGTTATGAACGTAGTCATTATTATCATTATCAATACACAAACCAACCTTGGACCGATTTCAATAATGAATTCATTGCCATTGGTAAGAGCTGAATCCCATACTGATGTCCGTGATAAGACATTCACCTGCTGCGGCTCCTTCAGGATCCATTGCAAAATGGCAATTTTATCTTCACCAAAAGCACCCTTTGATACATCCACTTCAACGTGATAACATAGTTCCGTTTTCAATGAGCTTATCGTTGCGTTGACCTGAACATTGAACGAAAAATGTAAAGAAAATTAAATAAAACACATTAAATTGAGGGAAAAAAGGCCATTTTTGAGCTAAAATTTATTTTTCTATTGTTGAAACTTTCTCTTTTTCAATTTATCTCAATATTTTTATCTGTAATTTTTCATTTGTTGATAAAAAAATTTTTTTTCCAAGTGCGGAAATCATATAATCTCGGCCGATTAGCTTTGGAAATACCTTGGAGTTGAAATATAAAACATAGCACTTTATGAATTGAATTTTAATTCAATAACAGAAAAATCACAGTAAACAGTAACAATTCAAATCCCGCACCAATTGATGATGAAAAAAATGTCTTACCTTTTGCAATTCGCTCAAAATCTGAGTCAATTTGGATGAATGGAATGCATCCGTAGAATAGAATCTTAGAATAGCCATTTAGTACTTTGTTTCAGTGAAGTTCCCTTTGAATTGCGTACTCCTTTCGTGTCAACTGATGAACTCCAACTGAAATCGTTAATTAAATTGAATCAGACTTTTGCTACTAAATTTTAATCAATTTTTTCCACACAAAAAAATTACCAACTGATAATACAAATTAAGGGGCATGCATGTACCGAAACAAAAATCAAAAGGCAAATCCATGCTTACATAAGGGATTAAAAGTTGATATTTTACATAAACTTCTATAAATAATCTTAACTTTACTCTTAAATAATTTTAAAAAAGAAACTTCATCTATTTAAATTCAAAGAACACAATTTATTTCTATTTTCTTTGTCACAAATTCACGTTTTGTCAATGAAGAAGAGAAATTCTTACTGAAATACAATGAACAGTATGAGGTCCTAGTAAAGCGATAGCAGCAAATAGTGCACGAGTGCGATTAAGCAGGTCAAAAATGTTATCGCCGGTTGGCGAGAGAGAAAAACAAATCGAAATATTTTGAAAAAATATTGTTGTTATGAATTTTGAGCGATGGCCAATTACGTCGGAATCACCAAGAGGTCGAAAAAGAATCCATGCCAATAAATTGATAAGATTCCGTGCCTTCAACATGTGAATAACATTGCGTCGGTTGTTTTTATTGATAAATATTATTGTGATGCGATTGGGGATGACGACGCACTTGCTAAATATGGTTTTGTATATACATTAATTTTAATACGTAACTGCGATTAGACTGTGTCCAAACACATGCTCAATATAATCATAACTGAATTAAATTGTGAATTTGTTGCAATCGAAGCAAATAAAATGGCACTGCAATCACACTTGTGATTGAAATTAAGGTGCTATCAATGAAAAATGCTACATGTGCCATGTGCACTGTGGAAAAGCTACATTGAAGCACGTGCTGCCTTCCCTTTACAACATTCAATACAATGTTCAGTGTTGCTCGCAAAAATTTGCGACTAAAAAATCATTCAAAAATTTTCACACACTACGACTGCCCGTTCCCATGCACACTTTGTCTTTCCTTGCACAAATCAATTCGTCTTTGACCACACAATTATTGTTGAAATGACCACTAAATATCACAATAAAATTCCATATTAAATCAATAAAATGCCTTAATCCAAACCTCTGAACGAAGAACCACTTGTCGGCTTTCGTTTACACGCTGTTCTAATGGTTTATTTTGACTACTACAGTCCGCGTGCTATATTACATACACTCGATTGATTGAGAACCAATGACAGACCGACGGAATTGGCAAAGCACGGATTTAACACTTTATATAAATGAATGTTGATGTTATTAGTTGTTCTGGTGATCTTGCGTCAAAGATCGTCATCGCATGTTCAGCCAGCGTTATCTAATACGCGCGCTCATATGTGTTCCAGTGAATAGTGTTCATACATATCGCGATATGGTCAATAGTAGTATAGTCAGCATTTCAAACAGAACAAACGTTATCAAAGCCGTTGATTACAGGATTTACACAAATACGCATAGTTTTTGAATGAATGGAAAAGTGAATTGAATTTTTCTACACTTCAATGAATATTTTTCTCGTTTCAAATTGATTGAGATAATTAATTCTTCTTTAAAATATTTTTGTTTATATCACACATTAGTCGTATGTGTAAAGCGCCCTCTTTCGAAAAAAAGCACACACTCTGCGCCCGAATCATCGTACTAGAAGCATCAACTGAATATATGTGTTTGACTCGAATTTTGCACACAGATACTTAAAACGCCGCTCGTACCGAACAATCCAAACACACGGTTCGTTGAGCGCGCTGTGTATGTGTGCGTGCATATGCACAGGAAAGAAGTAGAAAAAAAACAACAAAACACGGCAAGCGGCAGGCATCAAATCCATACACACAAAAATCATTTCTATTGTACAGTGCCGAAGCTGAAGTTCATACACCGCCGAGCAGAGCAGCACAACACACAAAAAAGCGACGAGAGAACACAGAAGGAACAACGAAGAGATAAAAAAAAGGTAAGTCTGCATACAAAATTTTTTTTTTGTTCTTGTTGTTTATTTAATTGTAGCATTTCGCAAATATTCTCCGGTTGTGATGCATCTAAAACATTATCATCTGTTCACATTCGATCAGTTAAAATCGCGTTATTCCAAATGCAAAACAAATATAAACAAAAACACCAGAAAACAAACCGAAGTTTGTAGCGCGACGACGACTGAAAAATCATGACGCCGATTCGTTTTTTTTTTCTCTCTTTCTCGTTCGTGCTCTCTGCGACAACTGTGAATGTGCAGTGAGTTTTGTATGAGAAATAAATTTGCGGTCCCATAAAAATGCTCAAGTGAATTTGAAGAGGCCAAAGAATTAAGAAAAAAACGGAGAAAAGCAACAAAAAATCGAGTCAATTTAAAAATTCAAGTTGCGTTTGGCTTCACTGAACGCCGTTAATTGCATAAATCGGCAAACGCTTTGCAAACGAAAATTGCAAAATTAAGAATTTCAAATGGTCGGACGAGAGAGAAAGAGAGCACATTAGCTTTGGCCGACGTTTTTCACACATGACAGAAGGAATGATTTGCAAAGTACGTTGTTTCAGTTTTTGCCAATTTTTCATTCGTTTACAGTTGTCTTTGACGGTGCCAAGATCAAAATTGTGGAGCAATCAAGATCTAATTGGTTAGTTCGCAATTGAAATTTGCTGAACATTTTTCACATAAAATCATTTCATTTTTCGGTTAGAATTCCAATTGATTCGATTATTTGTTGAAAAAAAAGGTTGCACTTCAATGGATCGATTGTTATAGAAAAAAAAGTCGCTCACTCAAGACAATTTTTTATTGCAACAAAAACAATGGCTTTGCATTTGTTGCCAATTCAGTGGAAACGTATTGTGTCTCTCGTTCGCTCGCATTCACCCAATATCAATAGCGACAGAGAACAGAGTATACACAGTAATCTTCGGTTGCTTCGAAAATGACGCACACACATACTAATATAGAGCGAGTGAGAGCAGTAAATCGAATGTGAGTCGTCTTCGTTTACGTTGTGCGCGCTTTATTCTTTCTCTCGACATTCTGTGTATATGTTGCGCTCTCTGTGTGTATCTCATGTTCTTTTTTTTCGGTTGCCTCTTCCATGGGTTTTTCTTTTGCTAAATAATTCGTTGTTCGGTTATTTGTTCTGCACGACTTTTGCCTTCTTTTTCAAGATACACACAGAGCGAATGAATATTATGTGTGAGCCACGGGCACCATAAAAAGATATATCTTAATCGTAATTGAACATACATCAATCTCGCCATTGAACATACATCAATCGCGTCTTTTTGTCTTGTTTCAGATGTCGAGCAAACGTAAATCAGACGCTAGAGCAGCTTCAGCTACTAAACGCGGTCGCAAGAAGAAGGTTGATGAAGATTTCGATTCGGACAGTGATAGCAGCGGTGCGAATGGTCGTGATTTGGACGCAGCAAAGAAAGAAAGCGTTGAAGTCCTGATCGAAAGCACCGAAGACACCAAACTGCCGGAAGAATTGCTCAAGACATTCGACCGTGAACCAGGTAAACTTATGGTCGCCGGTATGGTTACGTGGGAACTGACAGGTCGACGTGATCCAAAAGGGAAAGTTACCACGATCCGTCCCAATCTGTATACATTTCATCGATTCACTGACGAAACGGTAAGGAACATTTGCATATTTTTGGCTTTTGCTACGGTTAAAAGAAGACCATTGTTGTAAAGAACAAGTCTTTTGTTTGTTTCGACAGTATCGTTTGATTGTCAGTGGCTGCAGTTCGGCACACAGTATTTTAATTAACATGGATCGCAAGGCTCTCAGCTTTGGCCGTAATCAATTCGGCCAATTGGGACAGCCAGAGTTGAAAACGTATGAGAACCCAACCATAATCCCTGAATTGGAAGGTGTGAACATAATTCAGGCGGCTTGCGGTCGTAATCATTCGTTATTCCTTACTGACACCGGTGTTGTGTATGCTTGCGGTGACAACAAGAGCGGTCAATGTGGCGTTGGCAACCATACAACACAAATCATCCAGAAACCAACCAGAATCAACTATCGTGGTCCTCCAATCATCAAAGTCGGATGCGGCGGTGAATTCTCCGCCATTCTCGACATCAAAGGAAATTTACACACTTTTGGACTGCCAGAGTACGGTCAACTCGGTAAGCAATCACAAACTAAACATCAATGCATTTAAAAGATTCAACTCATTTCATCTTCAATGAATGGATTTTATTCTGAGCAAAATTGCCAATGTGTTCGAGAAATAAATCACAACCTCATCTATTTCAAAGGTCACAACACCGATGGTAAATACTTCATCAATTCGAACAAAATGTCATTCCACTTTGAAACGTCACCCAAACGCATCGTTCTCTACATTGAAAAGTCGAAAGACGGTCACGTCACTCCGATTGATGGCGTTCAAATTGTCGACTTTGCATGCGGCAACAATCATACGGTAATTTGATTTGTTTACTATTTGCATAACAAAGAGTGACGTGTCACTGCTGCGAAATGCGATTATATCCGAAAATTGTGACAATTCAAATCAATCCAATTGCATTTGACCGTGTTTTTAGGTTGCAATCGACTCGAAGAAACGTGCATATAGCTGGGGATTCGGTGGCTTCGGTCGTTTGGGCCATGCAGAACAAAAAGACGAAATGGTACCTCGAATGATGAAATTCTTTGACTCATCGTCGCGTGGTGTGCGCAGTATTTTCTGCGGAGCTACCTACAGTTTGGCTATAAATGACATTGGCGTTCTGTACCTGTTCGGGCAGAACAAAAAGACTGGCGAGGCCAACATGTATCCGAAACCCGTTCAGGATTTATCTGGATGGCATATCACAAGCCTTGGTTGCTCCAACACATCTGTTGTCATCTCGGCCGATGATACATTGATTGCATGGGGTGCATCACCAACCTTTGGCGAACTTGTAAGTCGATCGAAATTTCCTATTTCAACCGATCAAGTGAACGAAAAGCATACCTTTTTGTGAACAAAATCTATTTTCATTTAATTAACACATTTGACCGGCTGAATTTAAAAACAAATTTCCGAAAAATTCAATTCAAAACGAAAGTACAATCTTAAAAAAAAAGAAACCAAATCAAATTAACCTAAATCTGCTGTTCTACTCTCTAGGGTTTGGGTGATTTGCAAAAATCGAGCACAACGCCCAAGGAGGTGAGCAAAATGGAAGGCATGAAAATTCCACAGGTGACAATGGGTTTGGCACACACTTTGCTGCTGGTGAACACCGAAAATGAGGCAACCAACGCCAAGTATCTCAAAATGCCCGAGTTCACATTGGACGACTGATTTGCCACCTGATTGGTACACAAACACAACAGAACAAAACAAAACAACAAACTATTTAAACCAATACTTGTTTTTATACAGCAGTTAAAAGTATCCAGTAACAAAACAAAAAGCAAACAAAATGAAAACTCAATAGACCTATATATGCATGTGTTTACAAGGAAAAAAAAAGCAAGCAAAACAGAACATAAGATTTAGCAACCGATCGAAAGTGTAGTCATATGTAGTCGTAATGCAACTTTTCTGTTTGAACAATAATGTAACAGCTAATTCGAGAGGCAAAGGCAGATTTATTTAACAGAGAGATTTTTACTCAAACTGCGATGGTTCGAGCTATCCAAGTAATTTCGTGTGCTAAATGTACGATTCGAACATTTGAAAATCGTACGCACGTCGTTTCGGGCTAACGCAACATGCAATGCATTGTGCATTACGTGCAGTACATTGCGTTGGTTTTCGACGCGCGTACACCATCCACGCGATTTGAATAGTGACACTTTAGCGCACGAAATAATGCAGGGTTGAAAATATGATTTTAATACAAAATGACACACAGCAAGACAAGAAGTTTTAAATTTTTTTTGTATAATTTCCGTTTAATTTCAAGATTTGAAATGAGACAAGGTTCAATTTTATATTTTAGCTATATCAAATGCATTTGTATTATTTCCTTTTTCTTTCATCAAGTTATTGAACGAAACAATTATTTTGATTTTCCTACAATTTTTTTATTCTCTACCCATTCATTTCGATAATAAACACTATCATACCAGAGCTGGATTTTCTGTTTTTATTTGTGTTTTTTGTTTTTGTTTCGTGTCTTACTTGTGTGACACAACAAAGTTTGTGTTGTGATTGTAGACGATTTTTCACATGGAAAAATTATAATTTTTTTTTCACATTTATTCCGTTTCGATCGAACAAAGATCTTCCCTAAAACTACGAACGAACGATTCAATGTACTTTCTACACAACGTTTTTTGTGTTTCTTCTTCATGTTATTCGTTTTGTTAAGGGTAATTGTGACAAGTACAACACATTCAACGGGATCGAACGAGTGTATTTGTGTATGTGTGGCTCTCTAAAGAATTTGAAACAAAATTAAAATAATGGCGACATAGAAATTACAATAAAAATGATATATATTTACTTTCACAAACAAAATTGTCTTTTTCTTTGTTTCACTCAAATGAATGGTCCTGTTCTGTTCTACTAAAATGAAAAAAGTTTTCTTTCGTGCTACTAGAATGAACTTTCTTGTTTAAAGCAAAATTTAATACATATACAGTTTCTTAAGTTTGGAAATGAAATGACGATAACACAAGCAAAAAGTTTATTCTTTGTTTTGTTTTGTTTTATTTTATGGTTGATTTTCCATTTGTACATACTTAAACCGAGTGTCTCTCCAATCGTGAGCGTGTCTTAAATAAAATGGTGAATTGGTTTTTATTTTAGTTTTGCCTCGTTTTTTTTTGCTCCTTCTCCATCTCCTTTGTTTGTTTTTTTCTAAATGATCATGCGATTTATTAGAGTGTACGAATTTCTTATGATTGGTTTGAGTATTGTAAACTAAATCAGGCGATTGATGATACTAGTATATCATGTTGGTCAATAACTGCTTCGTTAATTTGATCGTCTGGCATTGGAAGTGGACTTTTGCATTCATCGATAATTTTGGCCGTTGTGGTGGTGTCTACGTAATCGGAGCGCTTATGTGGAACGGCCCGTATGGAAGCATCAAACACTTCATCAATTTCATGCTCTGATGTATTCAGTTCGATTGGATTGGTTGTCGTTTTTACCTCATTTTCGGCAGCTTTTTTGGCATTTAGTTTCGCACATGGAATCGGTATAATTAAATGTGTTCGATTTTCACAGTGTTTTCGCAATAATTCAATGCCATCGTCACGATTAGCGCTGTACCGTTTCTCCCATGCATCCAATAGCCGATTGTAATAGCATGGTTTTTCAGTGAATTGAATGTATCGATGTGAATGCGGTGTTGGACATACACGTTCCAACGGGGCACACCGAGCTAGCTCATCTTCGCTGGCAATTAAACAGCGAATATCGTCAGGGGTTAGATTTTCTAAAATCGAATCTAAATATTGATCACGCTGTGTAATCGCTTTGCTTGTGAATTGATTGTGTTTGGAGCGTTCACCTTTCGATAAGTTAACGACATGCAATCGTCGATCATAGCACAAATTATGGCCGGTCAATCCGAGTTCAGTCATCAGTTCGGATTGTTGGGAAATATTGAAGCGTGGCGGTACATTGAAACGTACCGTATTCAATAGAGCCGTTACAAGTGGTCCCTTGACGTATAAATCGAGCGGAGACGATGAATGCAACGATGGCGATATATTTACCTCGAGCAACCAGGGTTTTAGCGCGGAATCTAAAATCACATCAATACCAAAAAGTTCAAACGTGTTGTATCGGCTGCCTACGTTTGCTTTGGTCATTTGATTAATCACATGTTCACCACTTAAAATCGTACGTAACACTAAATTCCGTAGCGCTGCCCATAGTCCATCCGTGTTAATGCCCTGCGCCGTAAAGTATTTCCACAATGTTTTCAGTGTCCATTTATGGCCGCTACACGATTCAGCATCCTCGTTTTTCGTATAGTTTGATGACAATTTGTTTATACTATAGTTGGTCAAATGCATGTATCGATCACTAAGCGTATCAATACTGTTCGAGTACTTTACGGAAGCGAATCGGGCCAAACCATCCGTATGCATGTATGCACGGAGTGGATTCAACGATGTGACCAATACATAGAGTCGCAAATCGAATTTGCTACCGTTGATAAGTAATGGTCGATCGATGTATTTCTGTACAATCATTGGTTTTCGCTTTGGAATTTGATTCCATCGACTAACCACTTTGATGCCCGTACCTCGGGCGGAAGCTGGCGGTTTGATAATCCATTTGGTGTTACGCTGATCGAATAGTTTCCAGAGACGTTTCAATTTCTTTATATCCTGTGGCAAGACATAGGTGAGTGGCATGAAATTGAACTCTTTCTTTCCGTTTTGCATCATTTGCGCTTGCAAATTGCGCCAGATTTTATCCTTTCGTCCGATTTGAAATGTGCCCGGTATGTGGTTCATCTTTTGATACGGTCGCAATGTACGGAAGCAAGGACTCTTCATATGCTTTCCCCATGTTCCCATCCAATCATTGGTTTCTGAAATTGGCAATGACATCGTTAGTTATTTCTTTTGTTTTATAGGTCAAAAAGAACATTCAAAGCAAATTGGACAGATAAACGTCAATACAAACTCACGTTTCAACAGTCTAAAGCCTGAGTTGAGTAGAATTTTCCTTATAACTATCGGTGTTATGGTGGTTAATTTCCATTTTAGAACTTTTTTTATGGTTAATGGCATCTGTGGGCCCTTTCCTTCGTGCGATGCAAACGTAATATACGGTGGCACATGGGGGAAGAGGCTTGGTGTCAACGGTGCCGATTTAGGTGAACGACCTTGAACGCTATCGGCCAACATTGGGTACAGTTCGGTGCCATCGTTGAAGGAATTATAAATGGCCCGATTATCCAAACTATAGTCTTCTGAATCAGTCAAATCGTTTTCATCACTATCCGTTGGATCTGTGTGTATGTGTTTAAAAATAGGAAAATTTAATCGATATACGTTTGTTTTCGTTTCAAAGTGTGTTACACAATGTCACTCTTCTTTTTATACATACGAATGCACATTCTTCACATTTCTCACCTTGAACATCGTCATCATCTTCAAGACTACTATATTCTGAATCACTTAAATTGCCTTTCTCCGCGTTTTCTTCAGCATTTGGTTTTTCGAGTGTTGTTGTTTCCTTTGGCGGTGTTATATCGACTCGAGCGATCGTTTTACCCATTGCCGTTGGACTAGTTGCGGATGGTGATAATCGAGCTTGATGTTGTTGTAGTTGCTGCTGTTTGGCTTTTGCAATTAATTTTTGCTTCCGCAAAAAAAATGGTCGGGCGATGTGACGTTGATTTAGGCTACGACTCAAGTATGCTGTCGAATGAATGGTTTGCTTTCGGAGCGCTGCCACTTTTGGTGGTGATAAACTTTTTCCACGTGTTGTATGAACGTGCGTCGTGTACGCGATTGCGTTGCAATGTGACTGACTATCATTATCGTTGTTACCATTTGTGATCAGCTGCAAGTAGAGAAAATCAAATAAATCTAATTGTTGTTTCGAGCATAAGGAACGAAAAAAAAAAGAAAAGAAACAAACAACAAATCTACATTGACCTAATCCGAAGCACAATCGATTCAAACAATAGAGCTAGAACATGCTCTTAACTCTCAACCTACTCCTTGCTATGGTATATTTATAACCAGACATAATTTCGGTTTGAGTGCCCGTTAAAAATAAACCCCAACAAATCATTATTATGCAACACATTCAATTTGCCATTCGCATTCAAATCCGATCGATTGATTTTATGCGTACGGATTGAAATCGAAACCAAAAAAACTTGAGTTATTGCTTGATTGCGTGAGGGCACGTGCGTTCTTCTTTCTTCGATTTGTTTGAACATCGTCGGCTTGTAAAATGAAATTGAAAATTTGAGACACACACACACACATACACACAAATACTGACACAAATTCAAACACACTCAAACGATATCACCGAAAAAAAAACAGGGATAAAAATAAAAGTTTAATTACGAATTTCCGAAATTCTAACTTACATCCGACTCGTGTTGGAGACGCATTTTGCGTGCTTGATAAAATTCAGCTTGAATTGAGTCAGAGCTGCGAGCACGTGTGCGACGATGACCTCTAATGATAGCGCGACTACAACCGTTTTGATCGTTACCGTTGCTCAAACTATCCACGGTAGATTTCTCTTTTTCCACCGCCAACTTCATTTCAGCATCACTCAAATCACTGGACACCATTGAATCTAAATAGCCGTCATTTTGGCCGTCACATAAATTTGCAAGAATATCATCAGATGGCGTCGATAGAACACTTAGAACACTTTCTCGCCCATTTTCAATGTGATGATACCCATTTGAAATTGAATGCGGTGTGGTGACCTTCAACGAAATCGTGCCATTTGTTGCGTTTGTGGGTGATTCGGTGGCCGCCGTTAGACATCGCATTGTTTGCAAATGATACTCATGCATATGGTCGCTAGCACATGTTTGCTGTTGCTGTTGCGATTTATTGCGAATTTTCGACATTTGTATACTAGTTGTGTCGTTCAAACGTTGCCGTTTCAGTCCATTGTTTTCCTGATTTTCATCCACTTCAAATATATGGTGCTGGTGCTCCTGCTGCTTTGCATCATCATCATCATCATTTGTTAATTTGTTCAACGATGTAATCGTATCTGGCATTTGTACTTTGGCAGTGGTGAATGTGTCCATTGGTTGTTGTTGTTGATTCGTTTTGCGAACAATTGTCCAATGTCTCACCGCGACGATTTTCAGCAAACACGTTGTAAACACTTTTTTTACGTTCACACCAATATTTCGAATGTGCTCAGTAAATGCGAAAAAACCAATAAAATAACCTCAAATCGATAGAGTAATAGTATTTTTTGTTTGTTTGAACGAGAACCGAAAACGTTGTGTTGTTTGGCGAATTGTTGTTTTTTTTATTTCGTTTTAATTTTGTTTTTTTTTGGTTTGGTTTTCAACGAAAATGAAAAAAGAAAAAAGAATAGTTTGTCGTTAGTTTGCAAATGAAATGGTGTGCATTTAGAAAACGATACAACGAATGAAACAACAACAAAAAACGAATATGTATGAAAACGATTTGTGCATATGATGATGATGATAATGATGGGATAGAGATATAATTTATATTGGTTGCTATTTGTATATTGGGCTACTGTCTCTCTTTGCGTTTTCTCTCGATGTGTCTTCGCTACATTGTCAATATCGATGCTCAGCCATTTTTTTTGTTTATATTCTCTCTATTTTAATGCCTTTGACACACAAGCTGACTCCGTTTTTTTTCTTTACTTCTTCTTCCTTATTCTTTACAATTCAATTCTACGGGGCACTACAGTGTGAATTTAATATGGGAACTGAAGTTTTTTCATTTGCCTTCGGTTAACTTTTTTTTTCTTTTCCTTCTCAAATATAAAAATGGAAATATGGAAATTTATTTACTCATGAAGAATGATTCAGTTGATTTTGTGCACACGAATTTATTCTCTGTATGTATTTAAATTGTTTCACTGCAACAACGGAAGAACGAAAGAGAAAATTAAAACAACCAAAACTCTTTTTTTTACAACACTTTATGAATTTGTCTCATTGAAAAATCGAAGATGTGCAAAAAATGAAACGAAACGAAAAGAAATATAAGTGAGAGAGACCACTCCGTATCATGTAGCTGGAGCTAGTAGTACTCAATACTCATGTCGACTTCATATACCTACATATTTGTAAAAGACATACGTACGGGCATTTATAATGTGGTGAACATATAGAAGCTTTTCTCCTTCCGTCACAGAATTATGAGAAAAAGTGTTGTCAAATTCAAAAAGAACGAACAGCATGCGTGTGTGTATGGATGTGTCGATGTGTGCATGAGTGTAAGTGTGAAAGAGAGAAATAAGTGTTGTCAAGCGCGCGACTTGTGCTCTCGTACTACAATTTTTGCGCCTTGTTTGAAATTTCACTCCGTCTGTCTTGTCTACGATTGGCATGTGGAAAGAATATGCGAGAGAACTGTCATTCGCCGTCGAACGTTTGCACATTTAGTTAGAATTCGCCGTTTTTTTCGCAAAATTTTTCTGGCGTTTTTCTTCGTTTTTTTTTTCATTTATTTAATTTGTTTTTTTTTTCAAGAAAGAAAATAATGCGATGCAATGACAGATTTAATGATATTTAAAAATTTTTTTGAATAAAATTCAATTTTTTGAGTTTGCATAATTGAAATTTGATTCATGATTTATTCGGTTTTTGTTCATAATTTTTTTTGAACCTGAAAGAAAGAGAAAAAACAATTGTGCATTCAATATATTTGTTGATGAATTTTTTTCCGTTTTTTATTATTCTTTTTGGATTTTTATTCGATATAATATGCCGGATTGTTCTGCAAATAATTTTGCCTTGCCCAGTGCTTAACGTACTAATTTAAATGCAATTTGTTGCACTTCACATCAAATTTGTTGTGTGTTTGAAACGTCAAAACAATAAAATATCATAAAACAGGGGAAATAATAAACCATCTCCAAAATGTCTCTCCATCTTAGGCGTGGGGAAAATAAACCAAATTTGTTTCTTTTTTTTTCATATCTTGATAAAATGTTTGACTGGAATTCGAGTTGTTTTTGTGATTGTAAATATTTCTATAACCGATAATCGCATAAAACCCTCATACCGGCCGTGGCGCACAATTGGAACGAAAATATATATATATATAGATTGGAATGAGTATTTCATTGATTTCTTATTATATCAACATTGTTGTGTCGGTCATAAGAAATGGGCTTTCCCGGAAAAATACAAGCTAATATATTGAATAAATATGGTGTGACACCTTACGAGCTAATATCAATTTTTGAAATTCTAATTTGCTTGCATTCGAATAGATGCTATTCGACATAATATTATCACTGTTTGTTATCGACATGGTTTGTGTCGGTTCTGTTGACGCCACCGCTGCCACTGCCGTTGCTACCTCCAATGCTACCATTGCTATCACCTCCCGTATTCGTTGCACTGCGTTGGAAATTCTGCGATTTCAAGTAATCAGCATACATGCGTCTCGCTTGATTCAATACTCGCACAACATTGTGTTTCCGTACCATTTTATCGAAGTGCATTGCCATTTCACTTGAAAATTGAAAATCATAATAATAATTAGTTTTGAATAAATGACATGGACTATATGAATAAATAACACTTACTTGTAATCCATATTATTTTTCATCACAAAATTTCGATGTTGAAGTAACAGAGACAGACAAAGGAACATCAAAAATGGATTGCCGCCTCCAAATTCCGTGGGTGGTGGCAATGATGTGGTCGTTTTTTCCAGAACAATAGAATTAGTTTCGGTTTCGGCTTCGGATGCTTCTTCATCGATAAAAACATCGGGATTGTTGGCTGTAGTGGTTTTGTCGATAACTTGAGTTATATTTGCAGTCTCTTCAAGCGATGCAGTCAAGTCCATTAAAAATGGATTCGTTTCACTGAGCATTGACGTTTTCATGAGGTCATTTAGCACTCTTTCACTATTCTCGCTATCCGATTCGGAATCGTTTTGGAAAATGCTCGAATTTCGTTTTAACGAACCACCGCCACCATCCTCTTTCTTGCGTATCAATCGAATGGGCGTAATTGATTTTTTACCAGTAACTTCGTCAATAATCTCGCCATCGTATTCGAGCTCAGTTTGTTCGTCGGGTGTGAGCGTTTGTAGAAAGTCTTTTTCATGAAATGGGTTTTTGGTGTCCGCATAGAAATGCGTTTGAGATGTGCTTGGCTCTTGAACTGTTGGCGAGACATGCAGCGGATTCTCCCAAACAAACACTTCGGCATTTATGCTCGACGTACTCGGCCGTTTCCATTGCTTGTCCAAACCGCCTTTTTCTAGCATTTCATTCGGATTCTTATCATTGGGTAAACTATAAATTTTATCTAGTTGCGCTTCATCTTCGGAGTTTTGATTGAGTTTCGTGTATGAGATATCCGTGCAAAAGTTGGCTGGTGATCGATTATTGCTTATGTGTGAGCCGGCACTTTCGGGCGATTCCTTGGTCTCAAAACCATTTACATTCACTTTTGGCGAAAAACTATTTCCAAACACTTGCCGATTCAAATTGTCCAATTCAAGCCGTAGTTCACGTGTTATGGAAGTGGTCATTGGAAAATATTCGGAATCATCGGGACTACTGCCATCAAAACTGCATTGCTTACGCTCTTCCAATTGCAATTGAAGTGTCTTTTTGTTAGGGCGACACTCAACATTCGGCTCATTCTCTTTTGGGCTCAAATCGTCGGATCTTCTGTGTAATTTGTCATCGATGGAATTTAAGTCGGTTTCCGAAGTTTTGTTCGAGTTTAAATTTTGATGTGACGATCGTGTTGAGCGGAGTGGGGCTCGTTTGCTACGCGATTCACTGACACTGGCCGAACGGTTCAATGAAAGTTTCGCACCTTTTGACGCAAAATTCAGGAACTCATTGAAATTTTTCACAATTTTTCCTCCCTTTGGCGTGGTATCACCTGAATTCATCGAATCAATGGAGCCCGTTTTTACTAAATCCTCAAACGGATACTTTTCAATTTTGTCGAGCGATGCAAAAATCTCCTTTTTCCCAGCCACAATTCGATCTTTGATCCCCTGGAAATGGCTGGAACTGGTTGAATTTTCTGACATCGGCAAAATATTATTGTTGGCCGTCGATTGTTCCTCTTGTTTGGTGTGCGTTGTTCGTGTCGATGCCGAATCATGTTCGTCATTATTGTTGAGCGATGCTTGCGACAGCTGATGTTGCTGTTGATTTTTCTCATTGTTTTTCACTTCAAAATTGTTAACTGGCGACTGGTCACTGGCTTCGATTGATTGCGTGATTGTTTTTTGATGCCGAAGTTTTGATTCGTCTAGGCTTTGATAGCTTTTTGATATATTTCGACTGTTGCCGACTGGTGTTCGTGTTATATTCTCGTCTAGACTTTGGTTAAACCGTTTTGTTCCGTCCAAACTGCGGCCGAACGTTGTTGAATCGCTGGCATTGGGTGCATTCGGTGATGTGGTTAGTAATGATTGTGAAGAACTTTGACGTCGAAGTGCGCATAGTTTAGTGTATGCTGTTTCACGTGGTTTTCGCATTTTAACATCGGATTTGGTCTTTTTCGGCGATGATTGTGCATCTTTTGGTATAAATTCCTTTTCGAACAAATTCAATTCACCGTTCGGCGGTTGCGATGGTAAACTCGACCACAACACCTCTAGCATACGGAGCGAATCGTCGAAAGCAAATTCACGCTTCATTTCCAGCAACAGCCAACGATAGCAAAATAATAAATCATCCGCTTGCTGCTGTTTTAAGTACTCATAAAATTCGGGGTCATAAAATTGTAAAGCTTCGGATAGGTGTGCGAATTTCTGTGTCATTGCAATTCCATCAAGCATGAAATTTGTGGTCAAACGCTTCATAATTGCACAAAAGCATATGTACGCCTGAGCCTCATCGCACATCGTTACTGCAAAGAGAAAGTGAAACAATTGAACGCAAACCGTGCGATTAGATTACAGAATTGGAGTTTGAGTCGGTCGTAGCGTGTATTGATATTTTTGAATGTTCTTACTATTTCTAGAGCATTTTGTGATAAGAGATTCATTTCAATCATTCAGAATGGTGTTTGTTTGTTCGATTTGAATAAAGAAAATCGAAAACAAGCAAACAAAAAAAAACAAAAAATATGAACAAAAACCGATGGACGAACCAGTAAAAAACTTGGAAAAATCCACACAAACCTAAAAGCGGTGACGCAATGTCCGACATGCCCTGGCAATAGCTCACTGCTGGATGATTGAGTGCATATGTGGTGAGAATATTGAAAAGTGATGCTATATTTTGATTATCATCGTTGCCCGCGTAAAATGGATGCAGTCGATCGGTTCGAAGCACATCTTTGCGCACCATGCTCGTTACATAGGCTAATTCACCCGTGACCGGTCCTTGTTGCACAGCCACTCGCCACACATCGCGTAATCGACAATATTCGGCCGCCTTTTGTTTCATATAATCCATACGTTGTTTGCCCGTCATGCCATCGGGATAAACATTCAATATGTGCTTCCATACGACACGTCTTAACGACGGATCAATTCCACCGTTATAAATAACTTTTCGTAGATTTTTCGCTTGTACAATTTGTCCCACGGAATCGAGAAATGAACGAAACTCAGCATCCGAGAGTGGTTGACGCAGTGGCTGCAAAATGCTTTGATCTTCAACAAAATTCAGTGCACGCGTCACCATTGAAAATGTTTTCTCCATTTGGTTCATAATCAGGCCAGGCAAACGGATTTGCACATTTTGCACGTACTTATGACCAACGCCAATTGATTGTTGCAACGGTGTCACCTCTTTTGACGTTGAATTTGTTGGATCCCAATCAGATGCTTCGGAAAATGGTTTTATATCTACCGTTAATGTTAAACAAGGATCGGTGCCAAACGATATGGAATGATTGTGAGCTCTGGAAAATATCACTTCTATGAAAAAGTTGACAAAACTAATTTGAGCAAAAGGGAGAAATACCTGAGGAAGGCTGCATCGAGATCCCAATCCGACAAAACAGGCAAATACACTTCCTGACCGTCGTTCGGATCGGCTGTCTTGTAGCTTATGGTAAACTCGGATTTTAGGTCAAACGCTTTTGCCAGAATGCTATACAAAACTTCTAACGATGTGATCTGCGGATCAACACTGAATTTTCGCCACTCAGGCGGTAGACTTGCTTCACATTTCTACGGATTCAAACAAAGGAATAAAATTGAAAAATCAGAAAACAAACACATGCTCACAAAATCGATATGCGTATCAATGACAATTTTTTTCTTCATTCTTCTTCTGCTGATTAAAAGACAGTGTGTATGTTATTGATATTTCATTGGCTATTCAACCCTGTGAATGGAAAAAAAAATGTTTCTATATTCACCAATTAAAAACACTTACTTTTACTTTTACGCGAACGGCTTCGCGTGAAAGTCCATAAATGCCTGCCATATTTTTCGTCGTTACTGAGATCGTGTGTGGATGAAAGTGGTTGTGTCTAGGCTAAATCGAAAACACCACTTGAATCAAAGTCAAAATTAACTGTATTGACTCAACTTTTGGTAGAAGCGATAACATTTTAACCCAAATACATCATCAAGTAGTTTATAGTAGCTCGTCGTTCGTTTCTTTGGTGTTGTTTTTTGTTCTTTTTGTTTCAGCCAGCAGATACAAAGCGAGCGTATGAGTCGTTGTGTGTTAATTGTGTGCGAGCTACTAAACCTTCATCGTTTTGATGGTTTCTTCTGTCTTCTCACTTCTCTCTTTTTTTTTCGTGGGGCCCCAGTGAAAGACTATGAGCATAATTCACATATGATTTGTATTGTGTATGTGTGTGTCTTGAAATGGATTGCATCGCATGAAAATCACACACATTTGTATTTGACAAACAAATGACATTTCTTCACGCAACAGCAGACAACACTTTGGTCCCCCTTGCCTTGCTGTCAATTTACACACACACACACTCCGTTTATATCGTTACTTAGAAATATCAATGTAAGCGCAAAGTATTCATTTGGCGCGACAATGATTGAAGGAATTGAAACCAAATATTTGAGAGACAATTGTTTTTGGCGAATATTTTTAGCCCAGCATTTTTGTATTTTTCCACTCGAAATTCTTCTTTTGATAGGAAAAAAAACTATTGACTGAATAAAAACTTCAATTTTCAACTGTCACCGTCTTGAGTATGGCCTGTCAGTACTTAAAAAAACCTAAAGCCTGATTCCAAATGGAATTCGATTGATTGTGTGAGCAGTGAGCACCGCACTCATTCAGGCCCATTCAGCGTGCAATGAGAGAGTGAGAGCTATATTGGTTTCTATGTCCGCTTGACAGTGACATTTCATGTGTTTTTAGTCGCACAATCACAAAAAAAAATCATTTGATCGTGTGAAAACGAATTGCATATTCCTATATGTGATTGAAAATTGTATATAATCGAATGGTAATCAAGTGCATTCATTGCCGCTCAAATTTATATTTTCAGTCAACCAATTTCGTGCGAAATTCAGAGTTTGAAATTTATTTATTTTTTTTTCAATCTATTGGCAAATATTTTGTTTTTTTTGTGGCAACGCAATCGAAAGTTCCTCGAATTTGGATTTTCTTTGTATGTATGTATGTGTGTGTATATGGACGTGAGATTTCGTATTGTTTTACATAATTTCTTTTTTCTTTTTTTTTTTAATTTGGTTGTAAATTTGGAAATGTGTGTGCGGATAATAATTGTCGAAATTTGTGGCCTGGTTAAAATGTGAAAAATATGAAAGTCATTCATGATTTTTGCGGTTGCAGCACGGAATCTACGAATGTTGAATTCAATGATTTTTCCTTTGTTGCGAGAATCCCATATTTATATATTTGAATTGGACAGGTCGGCATTGAACACTAAATACACAATTGGAATAGTGTTTGTTTCATTGTCTATTTACTGATTTCGAAGATGCTCTGTCTCAGTTTTGACGAACGAAAAAAAAACTCATCTACGCTGCAAATAATTCAATCTAATGATAGTTTTAGCGGAATCTTGTGCGAATTCTACCGTGTAAAATATTCGTTGAACTGCGTTTCATTCGTCAGCGGCATTATTACGACTGTATTTTTGTTGTTGTTGTTGTTGTTGTTGCTGCTGTGACCATAGACAAAATAAGAAGAAAAACTGGATCTAAAAATAGACGGAATGTTTAGTTCATTTCATTTTTTTTTCTCTCGAGAAAGCCACAAAAACAGACGTGCAACTCTGTGGGTGTTGCTTTGGGATGAACGCACCTTTTTCTGCTCTGTCACCGACACAATTTGACCTCAACATTAACCACAAGCAATACCGTTTCACTTCGATTGATAACAACCTTTGAAATTGAACCTTGTTTCGCTTGTTTTGTTTATTTATGACTTTATTATTTAATTTCAGATATTGCAAATTAAATTGTCAAGTCAATTAATAGAGGGATTCGCTTAGGAATCGAACTTATTTCTAATTTTACATTCGTTGTCGACACACAACATTCAGAGCTGAGAAGAAGAATAGCAAAGGAGTAAGGTGAAATGTCGCTAAAACCAAAACGCGTCAACTTTGAAGAAACATGGAAGGAACTGAAGCAAACGGTCAAAGATGTCATCACAATGGGCAATGTGAATAAAACCATTTGGAATGATCGTTTTCTGTACGTATTTTGAGTTTAGATCTATTCATTTTTTGCTCCAGATTGATTTTTCTAATTCGAAAATAATTTTCAAACTTGTTCATTTTTCAGTGATGTCTACTCGTTGTGTGTTGCATTTCCCGAGCCGTTGGCCGATAAGCTGTACAATGAAACGAAGCAATTTCTGGAGTCACATGTGCATAATTTGCTAGCAACAAAAGTTGCACCATCGGAAAATGACAATGCAAACGATTACAATATGGTGAACGATACATTGCTGCAGCGTTACTATGCCGCTTGGATTGAATACAGTCAGGGTGTGGAATACCTAAACTTTTTATACATGTATTTGAATCAGCAGCATATCAAACGTAACAAACACACGGCCGAAGTGGAGTTCACGTACGGTCAAGTGGGCACTGAAAATCAAGAGCTCATGGAAATCGGTGAATTGGGACTGGATATTTGGCGTGGCTGTATGATAAAATCGTTGGGCGAAGAAATTGTTAAACAAATTCTGGAAGCCATTTATGCCGATCGAATTGGCAATGATCTGGGCTCGAACAGTGCACAAGTGATTTATGGCATCATTCAGAGTTTTGTACAAGTTCAGAATTACAAAAAGAAAGGCAATTTAAATTTGTACCAAGAACTATTCGAAGCACCGATGCTGGCGGCTAGCGGTGAATATTACAAAAGCGAAGCGGCACAATTGCTGCAACGTTGCACGGTTAGTGAGTATATGGAAGAGGTACTTAAACGATTGGAGGATGAAAATCGTCGGGCACATAAATTTTTCCATGGAAGGTTAGTCAATGATTACATTTTATCACAGATAAGAACAACAATTACAGTGGAAAAAAATTGCATGGAAAGAGGTCACAAAACAAATCGCAATTATCACGACTCGCTTTTTAATCAGAATTATTTTCGTTTTCGTTTTTTATTTCTATTCAACAGTACAATACCAAAACTTCGGCAAGAATGTGAACTTCGAATGATTACCGATCACCTGGACTTTTTACACTCGGACTGCAAAGAGATGGTGTCGCAAGAGAAACGCGTTGATTTGCACAACATGTACGTTTTGCTCAAGCCTATTCCCGACGGTCTCAAGACACTCATTCAAGCATTTTTGGATCACATCAAAAACGAAGGCATCGAAACTATTTCAACGCTAAAAGGCGATACGGTTAGTTGGCGATGATGCTTTTGAATTGAACCATTTTATTCGATTTTCGATCGATTTTCATCAAATCATTGCAAATGTCTTATTGATTGTTTTTCGGTTTCCACAGATTCACATCCAATTCGTTGAAAATATGCTAAAAGTGCATCACAAATATGAGCAAATGATAGCCGAACTCTTTAAAAATGATCCGCTATTTTTGAGTGCATTAGATCGTGCCTGTGCCAGTGTCATCAACAAGCGTATCAACGACAAGCAGCAATGTCGTAGCGCCGAATTGGTGGCCAAATACTGTGATAGCCTACTGAAAAAATCAAAAACAACCGAAATTGAAATCGACTCAAAACTCACCAGCAGCATCACCATATTCAAATATATCGAAGATAAAGATGTCTACCAGAAATTCTATAGCCGAATGTTGGCCAAACGTTTGATTCACGAACAATCTCAAAGCATGGACACCGAAGAGGCCATGATTAATCGATTAAAAGTGAGTGTACAATTTAAGACCATTTTTTTGAATTTACAATGAACCTCTTCCACTCATTTAATTTGACCATGTTTCTTTTCATATTTCCAGCAAGCGTGTGGCTATGAGTTCACCAATAAACTGCACCGGATGTTTACCGATATCTCCGTGTCAACAGATCTAAATAACAAATTCAACGCACATTTGAAAGACAAAAACGTAGAATTAGGTAGTATGAATGAAATTTGGTCATCATTACGGATATCTATCTAACTAACGGCGCATTATTTCTCATTTGATTAGGTATCAATTTATCAATTAAAGTGCTTCAAGCTGGTGCATGGCCGCTGGGACCGACACAGACGACAATACCATTCGCCATACCACACGAATTTGAAAAAGCGATCCGAATGTTTGAAACATTTTACCACGAAAACTTTAACGGACGCAAACTAACGTGGTTACACTATTTGTGCCAGGGTGAATTGAAATTATCCTATTTGAAGAAACCCTACATTATTACGATGCAAACGTATCAAATGGCCATTTTGTTGTTGTTCGAAAATGTTGACGTTATGACGTGCAAAGAAATACAGGTGAGATAATAGCGGGAGAAATTAAAAGACAGGAAGCTCATATCATCAGCATCGATAGCTCAGAAATAATCTTTGTTCGAGCAAAAATGCATCGGTTTTTCCACGAAAGATTTGATGAAATTGTTATTGTTTCGCTTTCAGGAAACGCTTGAATTGAATGCGGACACCTTTCAAAAGCATATGCAAAGTTTAATCGAATCAAAGTTACTGTTAGCCAGCTCCGAGCAACTTGAAGGCAGCACAGAAATCAAACTGAATTTGGATTACTCGAACAAGCGTACGAAATTCAAAATTACCGCTGCATTGCAGCGTGAAACACCGCAAGAAGTTGAACACACTATGAGTGCCGTCGATGAAGATCGCAAGCTATACCTCCAAGCAGCCATTGTGCGGATTATGAAATCACGCAAAATACTCAAACATAATGCGCTTATTCAGGAGGTAAAATCACTTTTTTTTCGTTTGATTTGCAAATAACGAATAAATTTTCATGATTATTTCTACTTTTTTTCCGATATTTTCACTGGAATCGTTCAATTTATTGGCCTTAACTCGTACCTAATTCTTTCGTTTCTAATTTCTCTTTGGTTCTCGTTCCGAAATAGATCCTATCCCAATCAAAAGTAACATTTGCACCGACTATTTCAATGATCAAAAAATGTATCGAATCGCTAATCGACAAACAGTACATTGAGCGAACGTCAACCGGCAGCGACGAGTACAGCTATGTAGCCTAAATGGATGAAAGAGGGAGAGACAGAGAGAGAGAGAGAATTCTTCAAAGCTGGGAAAAGAATAAACACCAGAAATTGAAAAACCAAATTCGATCTGTATTTGATGCAAGGCATGGGAAACACAACAAATAAAACAAACAAACAAAACGAAATAAGAGTTTAGCTTGTAAGCAGAGTTTTTCAAACGTATCTTTTGTACAAATGTCTCTTTGTACTGCGAGTGTTTCATCGGATTCTTTTTTTGTCGTTTCCTTTTTCTTTTCTTTTTAAATCATTTCGACCCAATTCGACGGAACGGAGTTCATATTTTTTATTCGAATCCACATTAAATTATCCAACACATAGAACAATAGTCTTCATTTTTCACACAGAATTTTTTCTTCTCTTCTAATTTATCGATTACTTTCGTATTTATACATTTCAAATATCATTTAACGTTTGAACGAAGAAAATATTGCATTTCATCATTTACTTTTCGAGTGTAACACGCAGAACTTTTTAATAAATTTTAGTTTTAATGAACAGTTGAACAATTTACAACATAAAAAAGTGAGGACAAAAACAAAATACAAGGAAAAAATGAGTTGAAGAAAAAAGTTAATAAATGTGAATAGAATAATGGAATCAATTGCGATTTTCGTTTTTCTTCATTTGATGCATCCAAATTAGTTTCTTTAGGTTCTCTGGAATTGGTTGAAACAATTGAAGGTAATTGTTTTCAGCGAAAAAGCAACAACAATCACAGCCGAGTGTGAAATTTCTGTTTCGTATCGTTTATTGTTGTTTACTTCAAAATCTAAAAAAAACAGCAGCAAGTGAACCTGTTGTTGAGTCATAACGTCTTGAAATATTGCAAAGAATTCGCCATACATCGACCTTATGAACGGTGTGTCATCGTTCAAAAACGAACGATTTTCGATGTGAAAACTTTGCATTTTGCATGATTTTTCCAAGTTCATTCAATTGAACTTTACACTCTACTAAAAATGGGCTGACATAATAACGAAGCTATTGCTACATCATTATTATAATGAAATTACATCTCTTCAACTAAATCGATGAATAATTCTACTCCACATATTCATATCATGTATTATATTGATGCCTCAGTTCTCACAATACACCAAACAAATAGCAAGATTAAGTGTATTCGATCGGATGCTGACTCAATCGCACTATTTGTTGGATACGTGCCAAAAATCACATGCAATAAAGCACATGTTAGTTGTACTTTAGCACGGAGTGTGCTACTCGAACGGGTGAATAGTGAACTAACTCACTATAGACTCGAAGCCCGGATAGCTCAGTCGGTAGAGCATTGGACTTTTAATCCAAGGGTCGTGGGTTCAAGTCCCCCTTCGGGCGCTTCCTTTTTTTTATTATTGCTTCTAATTTCTGCACCATTGAATAAACATTTAAGAGGTTTTTTGCCGATTTTTATGTGATACAATTTTTCCTAAAAATTATTTGTTGGTAATAAAAATGGGAATACAAAAGTGTTTGTACTGAAGCGCAACATGGAATTTGATTTTTAAAAACGTTACATGAATCGTCGCATCAATGAAAACGAAACATGAAAAATGTAAATTTTGAATGTGGTTCTATATGTTTTTTGCGAAAATGATCAGAGATAATGCGTGTGTTCAGGAAAGTTTTGTGACTTAATCAATTTTATAACTTTGTTGAAAATCTCTTATCATTTTCGTAAAAAAAAACACACAAATCCACATTCAAAATTCACATTTTTGACGTTAGGCTTCTAATTGAAGCGACGATTCATGTTGCGCTTCAGTTCAAACACTTCTGTATTGCCATTTTTATTTTCAGCAACACAATTAAATATTTGTTGAACAGCAATACTTTGATATTGATGCCAATTTGATTGATTTTCAACTAACAGGTCGATGTGTACCAATCCCGATAAAGAAATACAAGCCCGGATAGCTCAGTCGGTAGAGCATTGGACTTTTAATCCAAGGGTCGCGGGTTCAAGTCCCTCTTCGGGCGCTTCCTTTTTTTTTATTATTGCTTTTGACTTTTGCAGCGTGGAATAGACAATTAAGAGGTTTTTTTCTATCGATTTTTATGTGATAAAAATTTATAATTTTTTGTTGAACAGCCAAACTTTGATACGATTAAAACGATAAATAAATCTTTGATATTGATACCGATTGTATTGAATTTAAACGAACGTGTCGATTTTTACCATTCCGTACGGAGCTCAGATGAATTGATTGAACTACGCAATATTTATCTTGGGTAGATTAGAAAATGAAATACTGTTTTCGAATTTATATTTTGTTATTTATTTGAATATATTTGAATGACACAGTCGACTTTGGATGATCTCGGTTTGTTACACAAACTTAAAAGAATTCTCCTTTGAATTGACATAATGCTTTGCGACCATTTATAGCGATGTATAGTTGGTCCAATGTATATCTTTTGTTGGTGGCTTCTTGTTCGCCTCCCTTTATAATTTTGTAGTTCTCCTGTAAGTGAATTAATTTGATTGCAAATTATATTTGTTTTTATTGAATAATACTGTTTGTCTCACCACTCCACGACGAAATCCAGCAAAATCATCAATTTTCTTCACCTGCAACACTGTAATAATGAGACAAACGTATTAATTATCGCGTTGAACTAACAAGCTGGTTCACAACTGAATCGTGTCAAATTACTCTTTCTATCTCGATATGGGTGACCATTTTCGAATTTTTGAATTGAATAGCTGCAATGCATATCTTTTTCTTTAACCCAAGTACTTTGTTTTGAACTGTCGAATCCCTTCCATTTGACCAGATATTCCACCTGAAATGAATTGATTTATTTGAAACGAACGTGGAATTTACCAATGATTCAAAAAAACATGACATTTTGAGACATACATTTCCGTCTGGATCTTCAATGGAGTCAATGATACCTTCGACTTCATAGGTGTCCTTCCACAACTGTTGCATGAAACATTCAGAGTTGATTCGGACACAAACAAAGTAATTCATTGTATTTATTATTTTACCCCAATGGATTTTTCGAAGTTCGCAATGGCGATTGGACAACTACACAGCTCCGCTGGGACCCATTCTGTATCACTGTCATCATCGTCATCATCATCGTCATCATCATCGTCATCATCATCGTCACTACTCTCACTTTTTTTCCATCTCACCAAATATTCAATCTTCAAATGAAACACATAAACTAAATATAAAAACATTCAAATTGAACTAAATCATAATTTTTTTGAATTCCAAAACGACATACTTTGTTGTCTACGACGCGCCCGTCCAAAATCTCATCCACTTCACACAATGAGTCTTTCGTTATAGTTGACATTACAATTTTTTCCGATTTTGAAATATACGTAGAAGAAACACACAACTATTCACGATGGCTACTACGTTTGAATCTTTTTTAGAAAAAAATATCCTCGTCGATACGCTGATACGCTAAATAGTCCAGGGAAAAGGGGCTATAAAATATCCGGAGGGCATTAATAACAGCAAAATCGGCTGGAAATTTTTTCGACGCACCATCTATGCCGCCTCTGTCATTCTCACTCGTTTCGTCGAATCTGCGATGTAATGACAGAACACATTTGCCAAACAGAATGTATGCTGTCACAGTAGTTGTTTGGCGCGTAAACTTTTGCTACAGGTGGTGCGTCGAACAATTTTCCAGCGTCTCAATGCATACATTGAATACGATGCTAATTCCCACCGAAAATATCTACGTTACCGTTTGAAAAAAATCTATGGAATATCATACACAACGGTTATTTAGGAGCGATCGCGAATGAATTGATTGAAAGATAGATGGTGGAAATCCATTCCAACTGAGCTTTCCAGCATCATTCATTGGACCAGTTGGTCGAACCGTGCGTGGTAAATTTGAACAGGATTTTGGCTCTGCTCGTGTTCTTAGTGAAGATCGTGCACATCTTTTAAGTAAAATATTCATTCACTTCTTCATATTCAAAGCGGAGAACGATGCACGCGAGATCTTTAGTACGAGGAAAAAACCGAAGTACGATTAAAATCATTTCAAACTGATTTTTTTTCAGTCTTCATTCTGTTGCTTAATTTTGAAGTCGTAGTCAGCCATAGAAAATATTGAGAAAAAATCCGCAAAGAAAATGGTCAAGAATTCTTCTTAATTTACTAATCGAATGCATTGTGAAAAGGTAATATAGGTATTTGAACCACACTGGTACATTCATTAAAGAAACAATTTGCTGCAATCTAAAACATTTTTTCAATTATTTTGGACTATAGAGTACTACATAGAGCCATTTTTCACAACAAAATAATAACAAAATTTGTCATTGCTCAAGCCACAAGCATTAACTAATCTATAAAATTCAAACTTGTTTTAATCGGTGAAGTAATAAATATAAACTGCTTTGAAGCGGTTAAATAATCGTTGTTAATTGGTTTGGGAAATGTTATCCGATGAAATGACCCGAAATATTTGCAATCCTTGTGGTTTTTGCGTATTTGCCAATTTGGAAATCTGTCATTTTGGTCCTGATTTAAAATAGACGAATTCTTTATATTTTGATAAAGAAACAGAAATTCCATGCGAAAATAAAATAAGAACTATAGCTTTGATTACAGCAACAATATTGATAATTGGTCGGTCCATATCAAATTAAGAGGTGACGAAAAAAAAACAGAGGCCGAATCGTTTGAGCATTTATCAGTGTTATTAACGCTTACTGGTTACTTAAGTTGCTTGTTAGTATATCAACCATTGAAAAAGTTTGCAAATGCTCAGTCCATTTTGAAGACGCCACAGTTGAATTCCGCATTTCAATCAATTTCAAAATTTAAAAAAAACGTTGACAATCAAACGCGTCTTCTTCATATCAAATAAGACGCTAATGAAGTACAAAAATATGTACAAATTTAGAATCTGGCTGTTACAAATAATCAAAACACAGCTTTAGCCAACGGAGTATTCATTAGGATTTGTTATATTAGTTTGAACGAAAGTAAATATACACATTTAACATGTTTGAATCGACAACGATTGCAAGCGAAGAGATTTCTTTGTGGCAAAATCTTCCATCGCCAGTGCAAGATGATGTGTGCTTCTCGGCGTTTCGTGATCAAGTTCAAAAGGGTAACATTTTGTGTTTCTTCTTGAAATTTCATTTATTTTAAGCAATATTCTAACTCGTTAATGGTTTTTTGTTAGTAAGTAAACAGTTCTTTAACTCAATTTCTCAACATTCTTTATTAAATTCAAAGAAAAAACGCTAGCAATTGATGTTGATGGATCCGTTGGAGATGAAAAATTGCTGATGGAAACTCGTACAGAATCCAAGGAGAAAATTGAAACGATGAAGAAAAAAGGGAAAAGCAAGTGGAAATATGTGATATTTTTCGCTATATGGTTGATGTCTGCATGGCATCTCTTGACCGTGAAAGAGAAGATTTTGATCAAACACGATATTTTGATGGATGCAAAGCACATAAAAGGTACGTAATACCGTGGAAAAAAAACAGCGCAAATATTGATATGTGTTCAATTTTTTGCTATTCTCCGTTTTTAGCTTTGAATTTATCGTACAGTGATTATGGTTCAAAGATTGCTGTTCGTGTTGTTGGTTCGTTTCGTGAAAATTCGAGCTTAAATGGAGACTTTTTGATACTGAATGTTCAAAATCGAGATAAAACGGATATCAGTGTGGTGAAAATCTTCGAAATTGATCATTCGAACTATGAAGTATGCACGATTACATTCGATTTTTACCCGGAAACATCATCGTTACAAGCATTGAACTTGACTTTCACCATGGCAACAAACGTTGAAAATACAATTGCATTTCAATTGACTGTGGATGCGAATGCGATAGTGCCGGAAATTGGTGTGATATCAGCTGTAATAATTCTGATCTTTTTGAATGTTCTGATTGGAGCTGAGGTATAGTTTGGAAAATAGACATTTTAGAAAATCGGGTGTTTTCGGAAGAAATTTTTTTTCTCGAAAAAAACAATTTGGAAATGTTGACCCCAAGTGACTTGATAAATGTGTCACATGATTCCAGATTGTTCACCGCACTGTGGCGGCTATTTTTACGACATTTACATCGATTGGCATTCTGGCCGCCTTACACAATCGACCTTCAATGGGTGATATTATAACATGGATTGACTGCGATACATTACTGCTAATATTTTCAATGATGGTTTTAGTCGCAATTCTAACTGATACCGGATTTTTCGAATACATTGCAGTTTACACATATCAAGTATATAGAATTGATTCTCTTATCAAAGCATAAAGTGTATACGCTTAAAAATTTCGATGTTCCTGGTTTATTTTTTGTGTATTTGCAGATAAGTCGCGGCCAAATTTGGCCTCTTATCTTCACATTGTGCGTGATCAGTGCTATGATATCAATGTTTTTAGACAACGTTACAACAATCCTACTGATGACACCCGTTGTTATTAAATTATTCGAATGTTTGGACTTGAATCCAGTTCCGGTATTGCCGTTTATCATACTGAATATAAATATAGCCGGATTGACAACGCTTATCGGTCATCCGCCGAATCTGTTAATCACTGAAAATTCATATGTGGCCCAACATGATGTCAACTTCTTAACATATGCGATGCATATGAGCGTTGGGGTCATACTCGCACTCATTCAAACCAACATTCATTTGCGCATACAGTGTCGTAATATTCATAAAATGGTGAAACTTCCGGTAAATAAAGGCTGTGAACTTATGATTTGGCAGAAATGCTTCGATGACATCGAACTGAACGACAAAAAAGATGATGTGAAAAACTTGAAACTGATTCTGGCCAAGAAAATCGAATCAATAAAAAGTACAAACAACGAGAGAAAGGACTTTGTTCATAAGAAGTACAACGAAAAAACATTCCCATCGTCTTTGGAGCATCTAAAGAACTTGGTTTGAACTTATTTTGCTTTTTTTTCTATTTTGAAGTAATTTCTGAACATGTTTTTCGTTTTCTTGTCTAAATTTTGAAATAATTTCCAGTATCCGATAAAAGACCTGAAGCTCTTCCAAAAAGCGATCACCATTTTACTGTTTATCATTTTACTGTTTTTCATTGAAACGATTCCAACTATTCAAAGACTTTCACTGGGATGGTGTGCATTCATTGGTGTCATGCTTTTACTTGTGATTACAGAGTATTTAAATCCATTTTGTCCGTTTTCAAGTGTGAAAAGTAATGAGTGCTAATTTTTTCTAGTTGCGACATGGAATCAATCTTGCAACAAGTTGAATGGGTGACGCTATTATTCTTTATGGCGATGTTCATTACAGTGGAGTGTTTAGCACGGCTTGGTTTAATCAAATGGATTGGAAAACAAACCGAACAATTGATTCTTTTGGTTGATGAACCCATGCGCTTGTCATTTGCTATTATTATTATTCTCTGGGTAAATACGTTGCTTCAGTCCATTTTATATACTAGTTTGTTCTTGTAACCACACTTGATACGAAAATCGTGTGTAATTTTAATTTCGATTCTTCTTGTATGATCGTAGTTTTCAGCTTTATCCTCTTCAGTTGTCGACTCTACACCTGTCACAGCAATGATGGTTAAAGTATTGGATTCATTTGCTCAAAATGAAACACTAAATCTACCTATGAAGCCCATTGTTTTTGCCCTCGCTTTTGGACCTACTCTAGGAGCGAATGGAAATCTCTACGGTGCATCATCAAATGTTCTGTGTGCGGGAGTCGCAGAGAAACTTGGTTATAAAATGACATGCTCACAATACTTTAAGTAAGCGTCTTTTACACTCATCCATACCTTCTTTCTATCATTTTATTCTTCTTTTCTTAAATAGAATTGGCTTTCCTGTGATGATTGGCAATGTACTACTCGTTACCATTTACTTGTTGACCGCTCACGTCCTGTTCGAGTGGCATTAATATCTGGATTTTGGCCGATGTTATTTGCAGTCAGATTTTCTGCAAATAGCGCTGGATGCTATTTGCAGTCTTATCAATAAACATATCCACGACTGCAAATAGCATCCAGCGCAAAGGTTCGATATGAAAGGGACAAACATACTTTCTTGATGATAATGCAAAAGGCACGCACAGTACATAAGAGCCAATGCAAAAGTCAATTGATGCGCATAAGTAGCGCCACCTCTAATGATTACGGAGAGTTACCATAAGTCGTATGCAATTGATGTTGAGAAAAAGAAGAAGAAGTAGACATTCTATTCATTTACATGGCAATAATGGCAATCAGTAGAGATGGTGCTCATGTGCCGATCATATCACTGTTACAACCCTTCGTGATAATGTAAGTGTTTGATGATATTTTTGTTGTGTCGGTGGCGTTGAGAAAACATCAGCGCGAGTTAATGTGAGGATTATTTCCTCATATTATTTTATTTGAATAAAAGTTTTAGTTCACAATTTAGTTTGTTTTAGGTTTATTTCGTTTTATAGAATATTTTAAACTGAAACAATAACGCCAAATGATTCGGCTTTTATAGATAATAGAATGACATATTATTTATATGCTACTTTGATGACAATCAATTGAATCGTTTGGATCTAAATCGTCGTTGGATTATCTTTATTTAAGAATTTCTGAATGGTCTCTTGACTTTCCCTTATTACTATGTGTGGCGCCCGTTCACTCGCGCGCGCGAGTGATTTCTCAACGCCACCGAAATAAAACTGCAAAAAGTGCTGCATGCTATTTGCAGTCTAGTACAAATTATAATTTGAGACTGCAAATAGCCTCCAGCAGATGCAGAAAATCTGACTGCAAATAACATCGGCCCTGGATTTTCGTTGAACTACGTTAAATTTTTTCAAGTGATTCATTTGCTCTGGGTTTGTTTTTACATTAATAGATAGACATGAATAAATTTGTTAAAAAAAAGTTTACATTTTTCTTGTTTAGATTTTTCTCATTGGCTTTAAACTTTCTGAGGTTTCATTTTTTGGAGAAAAAATAAAATTTTGAAAGTTTCATGTTGATCGCATTTGCAGAAGATTGGTTGCACAAAAGTGTCAATTTTTTTAGGTTTTTCTTAGGGCAAGTACCCCAGGATCAAATCGAAAATGGTTCATCTTCGAACTTAAACTAAGTTTTTCGGATACAAAACTTTTGGCATTTCCAGATTTTGATTATCTCAATTATTTTTTGAGTTATCGTGTTAACAAACACCAACGACAACGACAACGATAACGACGACAACGACGACTGCACACGAACGGAAAAGTGTCTCAAAAAGTGGTTTTCTACGCGTTTCATGAGTTTTTATGATGATCTAAACCAATTTTGCGAAAAAAGTTTTCGGGACCAATTCCTATACTATCCCTTGACACGTTGTGTACGGAAAAGTAATAACATTTTGAATTTCTCAAGAAGTTCCGAGAACTTTCTCATTACATTAACACTAATATTTTGACGTAATTCAACCGAAGTTTTTTTTTCTGAATTCACAACACAGCAATGTCGGAACAGGGTTATTTCATTATTGAAAATGTTGGATTGATATTTGCATTCGCCCTGTTTGTGGTAAATTTGCTAATTATTTCTTCAGAAGCTGTTTCTCTGGAGCAATGTATTGTTTCGAAATTCAAAACACCTTTAATAGATTACAAACGATCCGACCAAATTTACTAGTCAAAAAATGACGATTTTATTTATGGTTTTTCCATTGTAACACTAACAAAATACATTTCATTTGAATTATTAACGAGTCGCCTAATCACATTGCAAATAATCCGATATATTTATCTGTCTAGGGATTAACTTTCTTAGGACTTGGCAGATTTTCTTCAGAATCTAAATGCATTTGAAACTTCCAGGTAAAATGTGGTCAAAATGATCTGGTTGTTGGTACTGCTATCTGACTTTGGCATCCGTTCGTTTTGGGCTCCACCCCACACGGAAGATTGATATTATTGAAGATATAAAAATGTGTGTTGCTAGTATCCACCGAAGAGTTATGTTTATATCATTGAAGTGTCATCATCTTGTCTCGTACATTAATCCTCGGTGAAAATAGTTCGTCAATTTTTTTGGGGTGAAATTTCAAATTGGACGGGGATTTCTTTAAAATATTCGCACTTATATATGCGATATACAAATTTCATTCGATGAATAGCTGAACGGAAAGAATATTTTTTTCTGTGATTTCTATTTATGTTTGATTTTATTTTTGATAGAAAATTTCTATTTGAAATGTAACAATTTTTAGATACAAGTTTAAAATAACTGAATTGAACCGATTTACGAGAAATCTCATCTACACAAAAATCTTTTAATCGAATGTACATTGTACAAACGATTCATAGGTCTTCAACGTCTGGAACAAACGAACGGCTGGCAGATAGTAACATCGAATTGAATCAAAATTGCTCACTTTGGGAACTTGAGAATAGTCATCGATTGGCTAAATTTATGCACATAATTGTGTCCGCCCGAAAAGCAGTCATGATCGCTGTAGCTAAGGGCCATGGCGGTGTTTTTCGTAGATACGGTTTTGGTATCTAGATATAGATACAGATATCTAGAAATATACAATTGCCTTTAGATGTAGATATAGATATATATCTAAAATATCTATCTAGATTTGGAATATCTAGATATCTATCTATTTTTGTAGTGATAGATAAAATTAGGGAGAAATAACAAAAATAAGAGAGAACAAACTCTATAAGTACATTTCAAGAGAAATAAAACAAATCCATGTTTATTTTTTTATTCATGTCCTATTTTGTAACGAAACTTTATTGTTTTGTGTTGTTTGGTCGTCCGACATTATTTATTCATTTATTCAGAATTTAATAGCTGCAATCCGAAATGATTTAATTCCCCGACGGGTTCGTCCTTCTGGATTTTTATAAGATGTCGTAAAGAAGAACGCCTGGTTCAATAAATAATTTCGCCGGTTTTCATTTTTGCGTTCATTTTTCTCAAGTATTTCCACATTTCGTAACTTTTTTTCGCAATCGATATTAATAATTGAATAATTTCAAGAACTCCGAATGTGAATCATTTTGTGATTTTTTTTTCACAATTGACTATTTCTTAAAATAGTTTAAGGACACTTAAAACAAGTTTTGTGACAATAAACAAATACACATAAAAATAAATGAAAAACTACAATATCAAACAAACCGGTGAAATGTTTTTTTCATTTGAAGAACGGAACGTCTATTTTGTTTGTTTGATTTTTTTTTCGTTTTCAGGATTTTGATTTATCTACCTTTTTAACATAGATAGATAGAAAGATATGACCAAAAATAGCACAATATCTAGATTTAGATATAGATATTTTTATTTTCAATCAAATATCAAGATACAGATATAGATACGTATCTATCTAATCTATATCTAATTTTTAGATATAGATGTATCTATGAAAAACACTGGGCCATGGAAGAGTGATCAATTTACAAGATACCGAAGTCCATGATATCCATGTAGCTGCAAATGAATGTGTAATTGGTGTCTACAATCAGGATGTGCCAAGCGAAAGTCAACCAAGAAAGAAATATTAAATATTTTTGCGGTGGGATTGTAAATCAGTAGAGGGAATACAATTGAAAACAGTTTCAAAATAATAACAAGTCACATTTGTATACCTAGAAGTTCAATAAATTTTTGGAAAAATTGTCTAGATTATTTTATTTCGTCTAACATTTCTACAAGACATATCTTGTACATAATATTTGGTTAGTGAAGGATTTTTTCGTGAATGTTTTGCATATCTTCAAATTTCTCGTTTGACTCAATTTTGTTATATTCAATGCTTTTTGTTCAATTTTGCTGATAACCTCCAGATTTGAAGAAAGTTGACGAAAACTTTCGCAAATAATTTTCTACATTCATTTGGGATTCAAATTATTTTCATTTCTGGTTTGACTAGGTGCATTTCAGACGAAATATGGCAATTATCAAGAATTTTTAATACGTTCATATTATACATTTATCATTACATTTCACTTCAATATAGTTCGAAAATGTCAACTTATGAGTGTTTGCATTTAAAATATTTTCATTTCGATTTCATTTTTTTCTTCGAATATTTCATGACATTATCATTTTATCAATGTGATTCTTCAATTTTAATTCAGAATAACTGCCGAATAGCGTTGCATACAGTACACGTTAATCATGATATTAGTCTTGACGAACCATACAAAAATTATTAAATTATATTATAATGATTATAATTATTATAGAGGACCAGGATAAATTCGGTCTACATTTTTATTATATTTTATTTTTGATCCAAAGCTCGTTCGAAATTTATTTTTAGCAGGTGCAACATATCGCCTCACACACAAAAAGCGCCATCTACACATATACGACTATTCAAAGTGAACTATCTGTCATCAGTATCGATGAGTCATCGATGTTCAATTTTGGGTCATAAACGGTACATTGCAAATTGCAAATGTGTCGTTTATGACCCAAAATTGAACATTGATGACTCATCGATACTGATGACAGCTAGTTCACTTTGAATTGTCAAATATGTGCAGATGGCGCTGCAAAATCGTTCACCAGTGACAAACGTCAAATTAGTATGGAAAGAAGTCAATGTTGCAGCCTCCTGGTATTTACGTCAATTCCAAAATATTTTACTTATTTTTAAACATCTTGCTATATTTAGAAAAATTTCTTATATTATAATTTATTTTTTAATATTTGTGTTTTACAGCTCTAACCAAGGCTACGATCAATATAAAATGACTCACATTCAGCCACAGTATTCAATCCAGTGAGCTGCTTGAATTTGAGCAGATCGTAGTTCTGTTCAAAATAAAAACAAATTGCAGTAAAATAATAGTTTCACCAATACGGAAAAAAATAAGACATGCTTACCAGTTTGCTTTGCGTAATTTTACTGCTGAATTTGATTCAAATTTGCAGCACCGGAATCGGTAATTCGTGCGGTGGTGAAAATGCACCATTTAATATTTGATTCAATTGTAAAACTTGCAAAAAATAAATCTTCTAGGGTGTTTTGGATGCAAACCTGTGAAGTCCCGATCTCAAAAAACTCTGCCTGGGCCCATGAAAAAAATGATTGAATTTGATGAAAATGACATTGAGCAGAATGGGGATCCAATCACATTTGCTTGTATTCACAAACCCGGGTTCGTCGAAAATTTCAAATAATTCTTTCATTATAACTGAAGAAATAGCCTTCATGCTGATAAGTAATACTTATTCATTTCCGATTAGCCAAACTGAGTTTACGATGGCGATGAGTAATAACGCAGCTGAAATGTCAACCTTGATCCAGGCATTGGGACATAACAAACGGGGACTATCGATTTTTTTCACCGGAATCGGTGCGATTTTGATGGAAAAAAATGGTAAGAACCAGATCTATGATGTTATTGTAATCGAGAATTTTTTCAAAGACGTTTTCCAATTTTTCAGCTACTCAACTGGATGGTAAAGGTAGGAAGACAAACGAAAAATTCTTTACCGAAAAGAAAGTCAAAAATGTTTTTCATCATAAATTGTTTTTATTCTATCCAAAAAGGCTGGTACGAATCAAGCGATACAAATATATGTTACGTTGGCTATCAATATATGAAATCTAAAACAGTAGCTATAAAGAAGTTACTTCACTTGAGAAGTATGATCAAGGACAAGCGCCCTCATTTCGTAGCCAAAGAAACGTGTGATTTTTTTATGAAAGTGAGAATAATGTGTATGGAATCCGGGCACAACTGCCTCGATGATATTTCGAATATGGTTGTGGTTGGTTATAGCCTCGGTGCGCATATTGGAGCTTTTTTTGTTCGTTGTTTGTTCCAAAGGACCGGTCAGAGAATTGGAAAATTAATAGGTGATTGTGACAGAATAAATTCTTGAATAGCATTCTCATTTTTTTCTGATTTCTTCTTCAAATTTCAATTTATATAAATTCAATTAGGCCTAGACCCGGCGGCATGTACACAATTCATGGATAAATCCAAGTATATCCAAAGTGGTGATGCTTTTAATGTACAAACGATTCATACGTCTTCGACGTCTGGAACAAACGAACGGCTGGCAGATAGTAACATCGAAGTGAATCACAATTGCCCACTTTGGGATCTTGAGAATACTCATCGATTGGCTAAATTTATGCACATAATTGTGTCCGCCCGAAAAGCAGTCATGATCGCTGTAGCTAAGGGCCATGGAAGAGTGATCAATTTACAAGATACCGAAGTCCATGATATCCATGTAGCTGCAGATGAATGTGTAATTGGTGTCTACAATCAGGATGTGCCAAGCGAAAGTCAACCAAGAAAGAAATATGAAATATCTTTGCGGTGGGATTGTAAATCAGCAGAGGGAATACAATTGAAAACAGTTTCAAAATAATAACAAGTCACATTTGTATACCTAGAAGTTCAATAAATTTTTGGTCACCCACAGAATTCACATTTATCTTATCGATTGAAAAATTGTCTAGATTATTAGATTTTGTCTAACATTTCTACAAAACATATCTTGTACGTAATATTTGGTTGGTGAAGGATTTTTTCGTGAATGTTTTGCATATCTTCAAATTTCTCGTTTGACTCAATTTTGTTATATTCAATGCTTTTTGTTCAATTTTGCTGATAACCTCAAGAAGAAAGTTGACGAAAACTTTCGCAAATAATTTTCTACATTTATTTGGAATTCAAATTATTTTCATTTCTGGTTTGACTAGGTGCATTTCAGACGAAATATGGCAATTATGAAGAATTTTTAATACGTTCATATTATACATTTAACATTACATTTCACTTCAATATAGTTCGAAAATGTCAACTTATGAGTGTTTGCATTTAAAATATTTTCATTTCGATTTCATTTTTTTCTTCGAATATTTCATGACATTATCATTTTATCAATGTGATTCTTCAATTTTAATTCAGAATAACTGCCGAAATTCTGTACATACACGTTAATCATGATATTAGTCTTGAAGAATGCAATTTGAAATATAAGTCGGTATAATGACATCATACAACATGTTATCATACCACTGGGGCGATTTTTGATAGAACAAAGGCCTAATGAGTCCTGGAAAGGAAAATCTCCACTAACTCGTAGATCGAGCTATAGCCGTATGCACGATGAGAGCTAAGATGTTTATACTGATCACAGTAGAATTATTGTTGAATTGTTTTTAAATTCTTGTTTTTTTTTTTTAATATTTTCATCTCGACAAAAAAATGGAAAACAATAAAAACATTGGTGAAAACAAAAGATGATGAATTTAGTCATACCACATAGGGCAAATGCGAGCGTGGTAAAATCTATCAAGCAGAAGATTCATGTGAATTTCCGTTAAAAAAATTTGAATGTGATTGTTTTTGTAGTGTGAGAAATTCGGTTGGTTTTTTTGTCGTCTCTCTCCTGCCTCTTCTTCGCACCACTTATTTTTAAACACACTTTGTTAAATCCTATTCAAAAAATCCAGTGGTCGCATATGTGTTTGTGTTTAGCTGTGTACATGCACTGAATTGATCAGAATGGAAAAAACGAGGGTTCCTCACAAAGGCTTTGATGGTATGTGTTCAAATAACAAGCACATGCGTGTATGTGTTGACATATATGTGAGTTCATATGCCAAGATGTTAGGCATGCAACGGATAACTTGATTGCGATGTACAACTAAACCATCAGTTAGTTATATTACTGCGGTGTTTTTGGGAAGGTTGATAGCGCCTCTAAAACCGAACATATAGCGTTAAGAGAAAAACCGAACAGTTTTAAACTGATTAACAATTTCCAAAGTAAACCAAAAATAAGTCGATTTTAAACAAGTCCAAAACGGAATATATAAGAACAAAAAATAAGAAAGAACAGTATAAACTGTTCAAACAGACGATAAATATTGATTCAATATCTTTAAACAAAGAATAAAACATTTCAATCAAATAAAACAGATGATAAACACTACTGCTATATGATAAACGAAAATTGAATAAAAATATAAAACAAAGCACGCAAACAAACCTTGTTTGATCGCTTAAATCAGTGATAGTTAAACATAATGGAAAACAAATGTTTCGGATAACATCGGCTGTTAACTCATCGAACAATTTATAGAACGAACACACTGGGCAAACATTTGTAAACAATTGTTTTTCTTTTAATTAATCTTTGGATGGTGGTCTGAAAGAGTAACAAAAGGTGTGTGTGTGTTTTTTTATAAGATTTCGATTATCGTATGTTTATGTATAATCTGTAAATTAAATATTTAGAGTATATTTCAATGAAAAACGAAACATTGCACACGAATTCGGAATTCAAAAGAAAATTTCGTTACAAAACGTTCAATTTTTGAATTTTAACATACAAACCATAACAACGGCTTCACATACACATACGCGCACACACATGCATATGGGAATATTCAACCGAAATGTTTCATTCTACTGACGCGCATTGTGTGTAAGCGTGTGCCTAGCGGCAAAACTGAACGTTTCCATTGTAAACATTACCTGCATGTGTATTTGTAGATCAACCAATACACATGCATCGTTCAAATAATATCGTTGATGCGACTCGTCATACGGCTTGCTCATGGATTTTTACCTGCAAGTTTGTTCAGCCTTTCGTTTTGTTCTGGTTTTCTTCAATTCTTTGCCTGCACAATGTGCGACATGCACATATGTTGCGTACGAGTGAAAACAAAACTCTATTGTTATTCGATATTTTTCTGTGCGAAGTCGATTTTTTTGATTTTTTGAACATTCCGAAATTGTTGATTTCAAATGCAAAGCGTAGAAAATTTTTGTCTTTGGATTGAAATATTAAAACATTGAGCGTGTGTATAGAAAATTTTTACTAAAACAAATACAAAAAAAACAATCATGAATTTTGGATTTTAATTTTTTTTAAAGAGACAAAGAGACGAACAGCTTCTTTTGACTCTCCTCAAAAAGACAAATAGTTACCTGTTTTCAATTATTAGTTCTTTAGTACGAAAAATTATTCTATGTCATCCGTTTTTAACCAATTTTACGAAATGTTTCTCTTGTTTCAGACATAAAGACAAAAATACGTAAAATCATCAAAAATGGGCAATACATCATCACATTCACGTGAGCCATTTCAACGTGGTTTCATAAGAGATATTAAGGATAAGGTTTGTGCATTCGTTCATTTAATCAATTAATTTGACATTAACAATTGTTTCTAACTCTATCATTCAAAACAGAGATTTTCATCATTTCGACTGAAAGATGGTTCGAAGAAAAAAATGGAACAAATTAGACGTTCGTTTCGTGATTCGTTTCGACGTCGAAAACCAGTGCCTGATTCATCGAATCCATTGAAGTGGCCAACAGATGAACAAGCGATAAGGTCATCGATTTGTTCATTCCCGGTGAAATATTTGGGTTGTATTGAAGTATTCGAACGAGCCGGTGTTGATATTTGCGAAGAGGCGATGTCGATGCTTAAGGTAAATGTCATTCGAACGATCCCGAACTGGGATTCCAAATAAACGAGTTGTCCTTGTGAAACAAAAATTCATATTTTTTTCGTATCTCCTCTCAAGAGGACTTTTGAATAATATTAATTGAGAATATTTTCATCTTTACAGCGCTCTCAACGTCGACCGATGCGTGGCTTTTTGCACATCAGTGGAAATGGGTTGCGTATCGTTGACAAAGATACAAAAGCGTTGATCGCTGATCATTGTATCGAAAAAGTGAGTTTCTGCTCGGTGGATCTTGAGAATGAACGAGGCATTAGCTACATCTATCGTGATGGGACGACATGTCGTTGGATGTGTCATGGGTTTTTGGCTACAAAAGATTCGGGCGAACGTTTAGCTCAAGCGATTGGCATTGCATTTTCCATCTATATGAAACAAATTGAGGATCATCAAGTCGAAATTCAGAGACTCAGTTCATTCCGTCAATCGAAACGGTTGCATAATGAGCGTGGTGTTGATGTTGGCAACAGAGCACCGGCTGCTATTGTTTCGCCGCAACCGAAACCACATAATCCACATGCAATTGAAAGACCCCATGCAACACCAACGATGATCGAACGGCAAAATAGCTCCGGCGGATTGAGCACACTGAATAATCAATC